TGGACGTATTCGTTTTCCAACATATTGTCTTCTTTGACAGCCGTACTCCTCATTTTGTAGTTACGTCGCTTCTTTGGACAATGTTGAGCAGTGTGCTTAGGTTCTCCACAATATAAGCACAATCCTTCTTGTCGACGACGAGACTTTTTTTGCTCAGTAAGAAGTTTGAAACGTACCGCATCAATTTGCATATCCTCTACTTCCGAAGGTATGTGTTGAGGAGACGTCGGTGTTGCCATTGAATTGTAGTAACGTTGAGGCCCACTTGTGCGACTCTCGGATCAAAATTCAAAAAGTCGATTGTTGCACTTCACAACAAAGTCAATTGCTTGACTCAATGTTTGAGGATCAGGTAAATTAAGCATCAATTTCTTTACCTCATATTGTAATCCGTAGAGAAATTGACTCACAAGTGCGGCATCATCCGACTTGATATCAGTTGCAAGTTGTCGAAATTGCGAAGCATATAATGTTACTGATCGATTGCCTTGTCGCAAAATACGGATCTTGTTGGTTGCAACACGAATTGCATCATGTTCTCCAAACATGGATCGAAACTCCGCCAAAAAAGCCTCCAGATTATCCAATATTGGATCTCGTCGTTCAAGAAAAGATGAAAACCATGACAATGCTGAACCTGAAAGAAGTGTACCAATGAATCTTACTTGTGACCCTGGAGTTGGATAGCTCTGGGATTGAAGTTCAATCACTAGTTGGACCTGATTGATGAATCCTCGAAACTTGGATCTGGTACCATCAAACTTCTCGGGCAAGGCAACTCTCGGTTCTCTAACACTCGAAGGGTGTTCCATTCTGGGAGAAGGGACATGGTTTGGTGCAGATGTTGAAGCAGCCCCAATCATCTCTATATCTTCACTTCCTACCATTCTTGTTGCTTCTTGTGGTGGTAAATTGAGTTGATGCATCGCAAGCATTAACTCCCTCAATTGTTCTTGCATCTGTGCCATTGCACTCTTCATTTCAACAAGCTCTGCCATAGTAGCACTTAGAAAAGAGAAGATGTCTAACAACGCTCAAAACAAATAGAAGAGAGGAATTGATAACAAAGAAAATACTAAGAACAATATCAGTTTAAAAGAGGGTAATCCGCAACTTCTAATGCGCTTATGTCTTATCAAGAAAAAGGGGTAATCCACTCTTAATCAAGAAAAGACAAAGCTCTGATATTGTAAGTGTACTCTTGTCAATCTGTCAGGGACAAGAACTCGATGAAAGCTAAAGAGTAAGTGAGAATTTTCTCAAAAAGAAATAGGACAAAATAGAAATATGTATATTAAGAAAGAAACTGGAATGGCTATTGCCAAAATACAAGAAAACTAGAGACCCTTGAAACTAGACTAGAAGCAAGAAAGGAGTTGACAAGAGTGAAGAGGGCTTCACTCTTGCCTCTATATATACTATCTAACTAGAAGCCACGTGGCGATGTTCTATAAGACCTCCAATATATGTTGACTTTCTAGGCCACATGCCTTTGCTTGCAAGGCAAGTTTTCTATGGATGGACCACGTAGTTAGCTTGTTCTTTAAGCTTCCAACATGCGTGGCACATGGCTAACTTGTTGACCAAGTTTCTAACCTAAAAGTCAACTATAGACTCCTATAAAGTCAAAGCAGCGTCTATGAAGCTTCTAAGAAGCTTCTCTAGAAGATATTACACAATTAACCTACTTTTACATACTTTTATCTATTCATATAGGTAATTATATGTATGTCCGTGACATTAACCTACTTTTACATACTTTTATCTATTCATATAGGTAATTATATGTATGTCCGTGACACTTCACAACTTGGCTAATAGCTTCGTTGAGCGTTTGTGGATCAGAAAGAGTTAACAGCAAATCCTTCACATCGTCCTTTAAACTCCAATAGAATTGACTCATCAACGCTTCTTTGTCCCAATTGATATCACATGCTAATTGCCTAAAATCCGATGCATAGACTGATATAGAGCACATCCTTTGTGGTAGTGACCAGATCTTTGTTGTAGCCCATCAAACCTTGTCGTGTTCACCAAATGCTTCCACAAACGCCTCCAAAAAGGTTTCAAAGTTGTTTAGTATGGACAATCGTTTCTCAAACAAAGGAGCAAACTATGATAGAGCTTGTCCTATAAGTAAGGTTCCAACAAGCCCAACATGTGACTCCTCCGTTAGATAGTGTTCGGGCTGTAAAACTGTTATCAACCTGATTTGGTTGACGAATCCTCAAAACTTAGAATGCGTACCATCAAACTTGTCTGGAAGGCTAACTCGAAGCTCCTTATGTTGTAGAACTAGAAGTGCTTGTCAAACTTGAGGCAAAGTTGCTTCTCCAAGTGCAGAAGTTTGAGCCTTGTGCAACCTAGATTGTGCCATCCCAGATGCTCCATCATTATGAAGCCTTGCCATGACTCCTTGAATCTCTGCAGTTCTTTGCGATAATGTAGCGAGGACATTCGTGATAGCATTAAACTTAGACACCGAACTTTTTGTCATACTAATGTCTTGGCTCCCGGCCATTCTAAGAGAAGGACAGAAATGACTCTACAAAAAGATAATATTGGTTTAGAGGAGGGTACTCCGCAACCTCTAAAATGTCTTAAGAGCTTCAAGAAAAGGGATAATCCACTCTCTCCAAGAAGAATAAGACTCCAATATTGTAACAAAAGAAGTATCAGTTTAGAGGAGGGTAATCTGCAACCTCTAAAATGCTAGTACACTTCCAAGCAGAGGGGTAATCTACACTCTAACAAAGAAGAAACTAGCTCTGATATCTGAGGTGAGTGCAGTCTCGACAAACTGTCACGGACACAAAAATACAGACTCGAGATCTAACAAGTAGTTCAAGAAGAACTGGCAAGAATTAGATTAATCAGATGAGAACAACACCAGAGAGGTGAGCTAGAGCTCCAAGAGATGTATTGTCAAGACTAAAGAACTCTTCAGCCTCAATTCCAATATATAATTCTATTTAGGAAGCTTCTCAAGCAACTTCTACCAACTAAGAAGCTTCTAGAAGGTTCCAGAGACTTGCTTCTAGAAGGTTCTAGAAACTTATCTCTAGAAGGTTCTAAGGACTATGTCCCTAATATCTTCTGCCAACTAAGAAGCTTCTAGAAGGTTCCAGAGACTTGCTTCTAGAAGGTTCTAGAAACTTGTCTCTAGAAGGTTCTAAGGATTATGTCCCTAACAGATTAACAATTGAGGAACAAATTTTACTAGAAAAAATGATTATTGTAGTAGAAGCTTTAGTAAACAAAGCTTTAGAAGACAATTAAACTTTTAAACCACTCTTAAGTTGATATGTCAAAAATTTAGCTCTACAAAAGTCATAAATTTGGCCATATGCACATTGTAAGATAATTGAAATAAAAGAAAAAATTAAAGACATGTAAGTTTAATTGGTCAAATTAAAAGGCAAACAAGCCTCGACTCTAATATATACTAGGTCCTAGAAAGCTTCTTAAGAAGTTTTTATGAGGCTTGAAAACAAAGCAAGCTTAAGATCCTTCTTAGGCAACTTCTTAAATCATCTAAAGTCTCCTAGAATCTTCTTTGATCTCCTATGACCTTCTAGAACTTTCTTAGAAGCTACTGGAATCTTCAAGAACCTTCTAGGATCTACAAGAACCTTCTTAGAACCTCCTAGAACCTTCTCTTTTTCAATTGTATGTTTGTGACATACATCACATGGACATAAGAACAATATTTTTGAATAGTTGTTTTTAAAAAGATGTACATATATACCAATCTTGAAGCTTTATTTCTCTAAGAGAATAACATTTGGTTTGTAAACTTTAGAAAAATTTATACGATCTAAATGAATCAATTCAAACATAGTATAAAACAATAGATAAAATTCTATAAAACAAAAGAATGAATTTTAGCAACTATGATGCTAATATGTACTACATGGATCAAAATTGAGAGATCTTTGTCTTAATGCTTTATGTCAATGATTTATTTGTCACTGGCAGTAGTGAAAATTAATCATGTGGTTCAAATCTTTCTTGCATAATACCTTCAATATGATTGTCTTTAGGGAAATAAAAAGATATCTTAGTATAAATTTCATCCGAACTCTACACGGTAGATTTTTCTATCAAAAAAATAGTCCTCGTGTGAAAATACAAAAATACATTAAATTATTTTAAAGTTTTTACCAACACTGTATCACAATGCATTGTAATAACCAAGGCTCCATCAAATTGGTATAAAATCTTGTTTTTCATGCAAGCGTCAAATATGTAGAAATACATTATTATGTTATCTTAGAGTAAGTTTTAAAAGAAAAAATTATACTTCAATATATTGCTACAAATGCCCAATCAACAAATATATGTACAAAACTGTAAAGAAGAATCAAGCATCCAAACTCACTAAGATGCTTTAAACATCCAAAGTCTTAACAATATAAACAAAACCTATATACAAAAATAAATTAAAAATAAAAAAACTCACTTTTAACAAATATTGATATCTACACTTTAGGAAAAAAAAACAGTATTAAATAAACCTATTGCCAATAATTGTTAAAATTTATGAATCTACATATTGGACCTTTTCAAAAGTGTAATAATAATGGAACAAAAATTCGAAGGCACAAAGGGTATTGTCTACCACCAACGACAATGTTAAAAAGACATGGACTTTTGTAGAATAACTCAATTCATGCATGGATTGTTACCAAAGAGCTTATTGGAATCAAAATTTGAAATTAAAATGAAGGAGTTAAAAACACATCCACAGTTCAGGAACGTCCGGGACATCTATGTCTCTCTAATGGTTACAAAAACATTGGATGTATTTTTGAAGTGATTTAATTTGATTTTTAAAATTTTAAAATTTTAAAAACTGTTTCATTGTTTATGTTGAGTTGAATTGATGTGCGGTTATTCATCTCGATCTTGCAATGGAACTCCTACACAAACCAGCTCTTTCTCACTCTCCCTATGCTCATTTTTAAAATTTAAAATAATTGCACAGATGATGGATTTCATTGGAAGCTTAAAAGAAATGGGAAAGGAATCCAGTAAAGAAAAACACTTGCTCCATCGTCTTTATTTCTATGCAGAAAGTATGAAAGAAGGAAAGAAAGAAGTGGATGAATGTATCAGAAGCATAAAAGGATGGATGGGTGTGTGGATGGATGAATCAGAAGCAGTGCGCGACGCGGCACCTTCCGCCGCGGCGGAGGCGGCCCTCGCAGGCGAGGAGGTCGAGCCAGCCATCGGGATACTCGTCAGCCTCGGTCTCCACCTCCTCCCGCACCCGATGCCGCTTCATGTGCCGTAGGTACCGACAATGCAACCCCGCCGGATGCTCGTCTTCCAGCAGCGCCTCAGCAATTCGCTTGTCCATCGTCGCCTTGTCCCCCCCCTCCTTACTGCCGCCGCTCTCTGCCGTGGCCTCCACGATCTCCTCCACGCGACGACGTGCCAGTCGCACGCGAAACACCGCCAGGCTGAACGTCGACTGCCCACTTCCCATGAATGACACCGCACGCGAGCATAGCTCTTGCTCCACTAGTGCAATCTGTGCGCCGTTCAGGTCCTGCACGGGTTTCAACCCACACGATATGAGAACCAACATAGAGCTGTTACTTGATGAGAGGAATGCTAGTTTGTTTCGTGATTGTGAGCTGGGGTACATTGGCTTCGATCTGCGTTGGATCGGTGCCCGTTTGTTGTCTTCCTGCCCTTGGTGGATAGGAGAATTGAAAACTGATGGTTGACTCTTTCTGGAAAGCTTTGGCTGCGGGTGGTGATGGGACCTGTTGTGGTTGCGTACCTGGTTGACCTTGCCCAATGTTTTTACTGGGTCGAAGTAAGTGCCGTCGGCGAAATTGGGCAACTCAGTTAATTTCCAAAGCCCAACTACCGTGAGCCCACGCTTCCGAAGAGATTCGACAATCTCTGTCAAAAGAGAGATGCTGTGGTGCCCGCGCATCCATCCATCTGTCGCAAGGTAGATGGTGTTGACGCTGTGGTTTGATGCACGCTCTTCAATTGCTTCTATGATATCCTTTTGATGCAATATGACACCTCGGAAATGGCCATCCCTGTTACACGGAGTCTCTGCTGCCTTGATCCACTCTTTGGCTTCAGGATGCAGGCCGGAATTGATCACTGAACCATCGTCGCAGCGCACAAAGCAGAGTCCGACATGATGGGCCGCGCATTCCGACTCCTCAAACCTCCAGTGAACTGCAGATTGTCAGAGCATGTAGATCAGGTCACCGCTCAACCTTTGCGGCTACGGAATCTTCCTATCCAATGTTGAGAATATCAGTTCGCCGGATTGTATTACGGATATGTAGTTAGGTAAATACCTGCCAAGTACCTAGTGCCATTACCAAGAGCATACTGCTGTAGCATATCGGCAATTTTTTTAATTCGAGGAGCTGGCCGTAAGAACGCTGAGACGGCTAAAAATGCACCCCTCCACCTCAATCCTGGAAACAAGCCCATGATACCGACACATCGTTCATTGCGGTTGCCCAGAGAGGCGAAGATGTCTTGTGGTTTAGTCCACTTTACATAGTCCCAGTTCAGGTTCAACGCTTCCTGCATCCCGCCAAAGGAAATTGTCCAGTATTGTCAAGACCACAAAATTGCGCAATTACGTTAGCTACACGTGACCCTCATGATTGCACTTGCAAAGCTCCGGAAAGAACTTAGAGTTGATCGTATCAGAAAATGAAAAAAAGGAAAGGATGGGAGAAGAGTAATGTCGAAGTGACGCACGTTGTTATTGGGGTATCTCTTCCAGCTTGGCATGCGCGCTTCTCGAGAGTTTTTCAACATGATCTTGAGATTCATGGTGTCGTCGCATTCTTTCAAGCAATGCATTAAGCTTGCAACTTGTGTGAATCTTGAGAGTGAGGATACTTCGTATCGATCTTCCCACGCCAATCCCGATGTTACTCGCCCTGTGCATTACAGGGGCAAAAACAGCGATCTCAAACTCGGCGTGATACGATCTGGTTGAACGACCGAGACAGCGGCTACTCGATTAAGCTACATGACCTTCAACTAAAAATCAACTAAAAATCTAATCGGTTAATACAGAATAAACCCTTTCTCGCCTCCGATCCATTATTCACCAATATTTTGGCATCGTCATGTAAAACAATCTGTCAACTTCGAAACAGCACGATTATGAACAATTTCAGCTCACTTCATACTTTCCAGAGAAGATGCAAGATTATTTTAGGCACAGAAAATAGCGAGGTGATACTCATCGATTCTTCAATAGATTACCTGTGTGCCTCGATGGTCCGGGGAAGAAAGGGCTAAGGCACAACGTCCGGTTGAGCGATCGGGCAATGACAGCGGCCGAAAGGTATTCCATAAATTGATTACCCGCTCCTACTTGCCAACTCAAGATTGGAACAAGGAACTTCTCTCGGGTATCCACCTGAAAACAAAACACCATCACTTTGAGTACATTTACATCAAAGTTCAGTGCAAGTGCACCTGACTTCGTGTCTGCAAAAGATCGTCAAAATTCCCCTCTCCTCAAATTGCACGAGATGATTCGGACACTTGCCGAATAATATCTGAATCAGGATTTGGGTACAAGGGCTTACAGACACCAAGGCGGGTGATGGCATCAGTATTGCATCCGATACAGCAGTATTTTCGTATCTTGCAGGTGAAATCTCCGAGTCAAGTGTGTTCAGTAAATGCATATTCTCATTCTGGGGAGAGCTTGAGGGTGAGTTTTGCTCGATTGTAGAAGACTCTAATGATTCAGAAACTCCCAGCTCCGATGTATGCTCTCTGCTTTGCAGGAATTCAACATCCTGATCGCTAGGACCTATAGGTGAAGATGCTAAGGTTGGATCATCATCGTTGGGTGCCTGGAAGCTCAAACCTACTGGCAATTCAGACGCATCGAGATCGCCAGAGAAGGATTGGGAGAGGGTTGCGGTGTCTGTGGTAATGTTCGTTGTGTAAGGGTAAACATCAGCTAGCACGATGCCGAAGTAGTCAACCCAAGTCCTCTTCGACATTACTTGTAAGCTAACAGTAGTTAGCAACATCACAAGGCCGAAACAGATACATACCACCTGAATTGAAACGGACATGCGATTTGAAAAACGCAATTTCGAAAGCATGCCCATTTTCTACGAATTATAGAAGTCTCCTACGCGCATCTCTCAAATCTGCATGCAGCCTCCCCCTTCTATTTGAATCACCATTCTGAACAGTTTCTAGTGGAGTACTGAGGTGTTGTTGATTAACGCGTAATCAAACACTTCTTGAGCTCCGCAATTGTTCGTCTAGCAGAATTGACGAGAGGTTTTGCATAATATCGAAGGAGATTGGAGAAGTTCGATTGAGCAGCGACGAAGAAATCCTTGGCACAGCCGTTTCTACTCTGTCGGTTATGAGATGATCATGAAGCCTTAATATATACGAGCCGCCTTTCAAAATTTATCTTGAATATTTTGCAGACCTTCGTGTGCGTGCGCAGACCACACGGATCGGCTCTACGTTACACTTATCGCGACACAAGTGCTGCTACCCCCACTTCCATCACAAATCAATTCTCATCCTTGTGCTACCAAGAGCACAGAATTAGGCGGAGAAATTATTGTGGTTACTGGCCGTATGCAGAAACCTCGCGACTAGTGGAACAATTCAAAAATCTCAAGCTACCTTCTGATTCAACTCCCATGGGACGCTGGCCTCTGATTCCCTGCCATTTCTATCTCTGCGAATTCCAAGGACGCAACCTTTTCCATGTGAGCATCCCGAACTAGCAACACGAATTATGCTCAGTGAAAGCCACCTTCCGATCATAGTCACAAACTCTTTCCAAAACCGTCAACCAAGTTTCACGAACGACGCTCTGGTTTCAAAACCATGAGCTAATTCCACACCTCACGCTCAGCACTGTGGCTAATTCTTCTGCGGCTACCACCATCTATTGGGCATCGTGAGCTTGTCATCAGTAGAGCGTCAGCTACACCTCAAAGGACGATTTAGCCACCACAGATCGAGCTTTCCGCTGGATTTTCCCCAATTGGCAACTACTTTTGTGCTTTGCTCGAATTTTTTTTCTACGATTGTTAATGCCGTGTTGCATCCTCTCTCTGACTGGAACCGCACAAGACATGGCATGCCATAAGCAAAAGGAGATTCGAAGATTTTCACATGACACGCGTCCTAAGTTCCATAGCTTATATTTCGTTTCTAATCGATTGGAAAATGTCCTCAACAGCCCCCAAGTTTTAGCACCACGTATTCAAGCCTTGAAAGCCTAGTCCACGCATGGTGTAGCTCCTCACTTTCCTCCGGGCGTCAACACTTCTGCTTCGATCTAATCGACACAAACCATTTATTCATCATTTTTATTGCCTATTTGGTCTGTTGCTACCCATACCACCTACAAAAAAGTTAAAATAGAAAAACAGAAAAAAGAAAAAAAGGTCACTCTTTCTTTGCCAAACCAAAACATGGTCTAGAACGGATCCGAATCTTTTACAAAGCCAGGTTACAAGTTGACAATTTTTTATTAATTTTCCTTCTGAATCCATGCAGAGTGTTTTTTTTTGAAGCTGTATCCACTCAAGACGGATCATGAGAATTGAACAGTATCAAAGTCCGATTATGCATGTGTCTCCGGAGAGAAATTTGAAGAAGCATCAGCGAAGATCTCCTATTTCATGGCCAGTCGGAAGCGTAATGTTCTCCCTCCGCTCACAGTCCCTGCAAGTCCTTCAGCGTAGAGTTTGATGAATTGTTCATCACGACAGTTTTAAAACTGCATCGGTAAATTTGGCAATCCATCCGGTTCCCGGACATTCAGCAGAGGAGGCCAGGACTGGTGTCAACGTGTGGCCACCTGCCAGAGGATTCTTGTCAACGTGGATGAATCTCTCAAGAATTTAGGGGAACCTTCAAACCCCAAAATACAGGCTCAACCCCTCAAATGCAGACAAAATCGAGAGAGAAAGCCACGGCGCCCTTACCCTTTACTCCGCACAGATTTCCAATATCGAAACCCACAAGTATTGTACTAAAAAGCAAACTAATGGGCTACGTCGTTCTTCGGTAGAGCGCTGGTATTTGCGCAATACTTGGCGAAGTCGTCCACACCACGCTCGATTCCTTTACAAAATTAATATTGTCTGTAATTATGGACAAATTGAGGCTCATCTTGGATAGCTCGACGTCGGAATCTCAAAACGAATCATTGTTGTTCTGAGATCTATACACAGAGCGTAGAAAATGAAAAGTGATGGGTCATCGCACAGCTTAACATATGTATATATCTATATATATATACTAACAACAGAAACACATTTCTCCAGTGGATAAACAATAACTTGGTGGTGGTTGACATGCCGGGCAACGCAATGGGCAGCTTTTGGAAAGGCGTGATTTCTTGGTCGCCGTGGACTTTGACAGGTGGAGAGGCGCAAGTAGCCACACATGTTAGCACAAGTGGAAATCTTCAAACCCTAAAAAACTTCAAACCCTAAGCAACCAAAATTGTTATTTTTCCCTTGTTACATTGCAGTGGAGCTCCATGCCCCTGCTCTCTTCGTCGTCGTCGTCGTCTTCTTCTTCTTCTTCGCTTTCTTCATTGCCTTCTTCGTCTTCCTTGTCGTCTTGGGGTCAATGACATGAAAGCCGCTTTCAAAACCCTTTCAGCTTTTCCACGGTACAGCATTGACAAAGAAGTGAGCCCCACAACACACGCACTCACACAAAAGAATCGCTGGATTCTGCTTCATCGGTGCATCCTGCCGGTGCCTGTAGTTTTCATGACGCACTGTTGGGTTGTGGGATTTGTAGGGTTGTGTTGTGGAGGGAGGAGCCCAAACAACCAGTCAAACAAAAGGAGCAAGTGGGGCGATAGAGTGATAGGTCTTGTTGTCGTTCTTATTTTGACTTTGAAGTTTTGAATGTGTGTCAACTCTCTTTTGGAAATCATTACATCTTCTTTCACTTTAAAAGACCAATGGAAGATGGCTCTTATTGAACATAAAAGTCCATAAGAATGAAGGGTTCTTTATATATATATAAAGCCTACTCTGAAAAGCTATAGATTAGAAGCCTTATTAAATTCTCTTGCTTGATGAAATAACTAATAAATAAATAAATAAATAAATATTCTTTTAGAAATCTACTTTAGATACAATACAGGTTGTGCCAATTTCATTAAATAGACCAAGTTATTTTTTATTTATTATAAATAAAAATATATCAAATTATATCTTTATTTTAAAAAATTAAGAAATATAAATAAGTTAATTTAGTATTATTAATGGTTATTTTTAGTAATTTTAATACAAATTTTTTATTTTTTCTAAAAACTACTACTTCAAATTAGTCTTATAAGTATTCTAAAAACAACACTATCCATGCCATGGGAAAAAAAAAAAAAAAAAAAAAAAAAAAAACCAATAATTGTCTACTATGTCATTTATCTCTAAAGCCTTAGATGTACCTATTAATATAGTTCTTGCTTCTTTCTAATTGTCATAGAACACTAAGTGTCATATTAATTGTTGCAATATTTACAACACATACAATTTTATTGATAATTCTTTTTATTTTGCAAGGACTTTGTTACTTGGACTATTGGAACAACAAACAAGCACAAGACAAAGCTCTATAAAGTATCAAGAACTAGTAATATTCACACCAATTAACAATAATGAACTTTGTAAATTGTACATGCTTGAAATACATAGCCTCTAGCTCAATACTACTCTATTACAAGTTGATTATGTCCACTACCAACATATGCTCTACAATGGTTTAGGATTGCATAATGTGTTGACTAATCCATTTTTAAGTAGTCTATCTTCTCTAGCCCAACCTCAAGTTGTTCCTCTAGGTTTAGTGATGATACTATGAATGTCTTTCTTATCTTCTTCAACCATTGTTCTTGCACTTCAGCTGACCTTGTGTCATTAGGCTTGTGTGTTTGTTTTGATAGATAACAAACTTGCTAATTAATGCATCCATTTATGGATTAGATTTCATATCCTTTCTTTTATAAATACAATAATATGCCTAAAAAACTTAAGTTGTTTCTTACAAAAGAGAATTCATTACTACATTTGTTAATAAGTTTTCTCTCTTAATGTACAAAAGACTATATATAGATTATTTATTTATTTATTGATATTTTCTTTTGAACTAAAAAAACTTAAAATTTATTCATGTATACTATCAAATATACATTATCTTCTTAATAGAAGATAGAACTTTTTGTAGTAGTAAAGGTAATTTGGATATTATATAATGGAAAACAAATCACAACAAGCTCATTTAAGTCATATCTAATTTAGCAAAATTATCTTTTCTACATTTCTCTCTACAATACAATTTTTTAAACGAGTCAAATTCTTGAAGAACTAACATTTTAAACAATTGTTATCTATGAAAGTCTCTTTGGTCTTCTTAACTTATAAAGAGATAATAATTTATATTAAAAATAATATATATATATATATATATATATATATATATATATATATATTTCTTATAGTATATTTTGCTTCACTTAATATACTTTAAACTTATTTAACATTGAAAATATAAAAGAAAGAGAGTGATATTGGTTTCTTTAAATTTCTTATCATAACCATTTGTGTTTTAGATTACCATTTAAATTCAATTTTATAGTATTTTAATAAAATATTTGTTACAAATATGTCTATTTGAAAAAGGTCATAGACAAAAAAAAAAAAAAAAAAAAAAAAAAAAAAAACTTTTGATCTTGCCTTTTGACTTATATATATATATATATATTCTTTTCAAGTCTTTATGCTTTTCTAACTTTTTTTGTAAAAAAAAAAAAAAAAAAAAAAAAAAAATGTAAAGATAAAATAAAATAATATATAATAAGAAAAAAAAATGCCCAAAATTTGTGAGAAATCTTTACTATAATTTCTATACTTTAAATCTAAGGGAGTTGAAGGACATGGTTCGAATTTCCCAAAAACATTATACCAAAAACAGGAACCTAATAGTGTTATTAAAAGAGAATATATATTAGATAGGTGGAAATATGAAATATGCAAAATTTGAACTCAAATTTGAGTTCACAAAGTTAAGTTGAAATAGTTGGACATGAAGCAAAACAAATGGTTTGCTCAACTTATAAATTTTCATTCTAAGAAACTTTTCAATTTACTTTCTTTTATGTCACAACTTAACATGATTTTCTTCTACCAATTTCAAACCTCACATAATGTTGAAATACCTTAAACGACCAATTTAAGGTTTTTCAACTACCTCAAGCCGGTTTTATATGGATTTTTTTTTTTTTTTTTTTTTTTTTGGTGGAGACATAAGGTTCTAATGTGCTCTCAAAGAAAAAAATTTCAAAAACCTTAGTGGTTAATTGATATTAAATTTCAAAATGCTTTACACTTTGAGCCCCTAAACCAACACATAGACTTGGCCAAAAACATCCATAAAAACATGTTAAACCACCACCTATATCACACTAAACCACCAATTTCATCCTTATAAAATTTGCTTATCATTGGTGGGTTTAGAATGTATTTGGACGAATAGGGCTTTTGACAAGTATACGTGTGACACGGTTTAAGATATTCGAACTTGGATCCAATTGCTAGCAACCAGCAACCAATCACTCGCAGTCCCAAATTCACTTGTATTCACACCAAATGCCACAACCACAAGAATGTCGCAGCAGCGCCAAAAACAAATAAATTCATATCCTGTTCTCTACCAAGGTTTTGAGCCCCAGTGCCTCAGCCCTGGTGCAAATTCGAGAGTCTTGGTGCGCGACATTCACAATCTCGATTCCTCTGTGAGTTCCTTGTCTACGGAAGCGATCTCTTCCGGATCTCATGCAGCGATGTATAAACACCAAGGAATGTGCAGCACGTTGCTGAATCTCACACTCTTCCGAATTTTAGTGCAACAGATTTTCGCCCTTCGTTGGGATTAAAACCACGTTAGATCGTGTCGCGTAAATTTTCGGAATGTTACCTGGACATTAGGTTTGCTGCAATGGTTGAACTACACCATCTAACATTTTTGATTGCTGCCTGTCAGTGTTGGCTAGATTAGAGACATGAGATTTGCTTTATAGGTGTGAGCATTTTTTTATGTCCAAGGACAGCACTTAGCAGCAGGAGATGCGTGGTTTTGCTTGGTTTGTTTTCAAAATAATGAATTCGAGATAGGCGTTGTGTGGTTAGGAGGATGTGATGCAGTTCTTCTAGGTTGTGGAACTGTCACATGCGATTGATCTCACGGTTTTGAATGTTCAATTTCAGTCGTGGACATGAATCCTGGGCAATGGAGGTGAGCATCAACCACCTGCGAATCTGTCTACGCAAAGGTCATGGAGAGATCTCTGGGTTAGGGTGTTGGTCTTGGTCATGTGGCGTCCTGACGTAAATTGTCCTACAAGGATTCTCACCGTATAACATAAAAATCCAAATAATCCCCTAGAATTTTGTTAGTGGTGCTTTGCGTATCTTTTCATTTTTGAACAATATGAAGTACATAGATTTGGGCATGGATATTGATTCCTGTTCAAGTCGATTAATAGCGTGTTTGTATAACAGCTTTGATTCCCTCTGCTGTCCTGTTCAGTTTGCTTGTTCTGAGCACACTTGTATGTGGCAATTTATTCATGGTGTGCAATGATGAGAACTGATTCTTATCCTGCATCCTGGCTTTAGATGTGACTTAGTGACAAAAAGTCCCAAATCACATAGAATGGGATCTTGCTGTTTTGTTATCCTGATTTCCTAGTCATGACCATGTTAGTACGAGAATTTCCTCTGAGCACGCTGACACACTAGGACACGAATTTCTTAAATGGGTGCGTAGATTTTCTTACTTGTTGCTTACTATTTTAAGTAGTCCTAAATTCCAGGAATCCGTTCTTCTGTTTACGACTAGTTAGCACCTCCACATTCCATGGCGTTTTTCACAGTGAGCAAAATTTATGACAATATCAAAAGACAGAAGTCTGACGAAACTGGAAACCCCACAGTCCATGCAGAGAAGGTTTTGCTATCTCTCTTCCCTACAGGAGAATCGTTCATTAGGGTTTCAACAGTTTTAACGAAAGACCAAGCTTTCCTATTGCGCATATTACGCATGTTTTTTAAACAATCCGTAGACGGTTGAATGTATGTCATGACAGAAGCTGATAAGTGTTGCGAAGATGCCGCAAAACTCCGCTTCACTCTTCTAGCAGAGTCCTTTTGCTTTGTAATTGAAAGTTGATAATGGATAGATTCCAAGCATGGTGGATAGATGGATACCAGTTGTATTCAGGGGTAGAGGATCGTGACAGAAATTAGCTGCCTCTACAATGCTCGATAACTTTATTATGAAATTTAGGGAGCGGTTCCAACTTAGGTGGGCGCTGATAATCTCGTCCGCGTTTGTAGTCTTCGGCCCCTTTTCTCTTGTTCAATGTTTTATTCGATAGTTTTCTTGGCTAGAACACACCTAGTGGGAGGCCCTGAATATTGAACATCGAAGCACAAAGTCACGAAGTATATGGTTCATGGGGTTTGCAGAATCATTCGCTCGCATGTGAGTATAAGTTCTACTTCATACGGTAGTTTTATGGAATATCTTGATCTAATCTGAGACAATAAGGAGGGTCTTTCGTAATTTAATTTCATCTCTTTCAGGAGGCCTCGAGGATTACGACGAGTTCCACAATCCACGAACTAAGCGGGACATGAATAAGGTTGTCTTTGGTGGTGATGCTGGAGCGGAAGTGGCTGATATGCGTCATTCATATTTTTTCCTGTCTATGCGGTTGCGTTGGTGATCATCTCGAGCTTATCCGGTCTTTCGGTATATACATATATGCGCTTGCTTGTGTGGGGTTCAGCGAATTTAGGATCCATTGGTTGTGTTGTTCAGGAAAATTCAAGTTACATGAACGTTGAATATACCAACAGTTGTGATCCAGTATACTTTGCATTGGTGTCAACTTGTAGGATTATTCTTTCCTATGCACGCGATCTGCTGTGAGAATATTGATGAATGCTACAAAGCGCTTGAGTTAATTCTTTTGGGCCATAGCTGATTTCTTGCAGACATGTGTAAGCGGAAACCTTCGAATTTGTGAAAATTACTCTGGTCTTGTACTTCTTTCACTTGCTCTTGGGAGAGTCCATTACCAAAATGATAATGATTTGATTTGATTATTACTCCAATTCGGCTTTCACGCAATCCGTGTGATCAGGGACTTAGATTGATTCGTCCATGTGGAGGCAGGAGAAGAAGAATCGCCTGACATGAGACTGGTTAAGCAAAGCGCATAGGAACCAAATGTACCTTCGCTGGGTTAGGAATTAGGACCTCACGAGGTGGTTCATCCAGCCCCTCTGAGACGGGACAATACCAATTGGAAGCTTGTTCAACCCTTCAACATTCTTGCGACATTTGGCATCGTTCAAAATGTGAATTCTTTTACAGGATATGAATGCTCTAGGTCTTCTAGAAGTGTTCACGGATTCCCACAATCCACACTGAATGCTCAGTGTCTACTTCGGTTTACCGATGGGGGATACCATCTCTGCATTTCAGCTCCTGTAACTTGGCGATATTATCCAATTCCTACCATTGGTCTTGCTTCTTCAGCAACGGATTTCTTCCAGACCCCACCCATGAAATATCATAATATTGTCTACTTGAAGACAGTTACCCATATCTGACAATCATTCGAATGACTCAGTTAGATGTGGGCTCTCTACTGTCTCATCCAGTTTCACTATTTCATTTAAAATCAGCTTCTGAAATTAACTCCCTGGCAAAATTACTGCGCTCTGCAACTTCCGTCTTTGTGATATCACAGAAAGGTTTTCATTTTTGCGCTGGCCCTTGATGAAGGAATTGTATTGAAGTGGTTGCCAGGACATTCATCGCATGAGCAGACTAAAGTGCTCCTGATCGAGTAACGAGACTTCACAATCTGTATCGATCCAGCAGTAGCCATTGAAGAACCACTTCAGCCCTTAATTTCATGGTTCCTCTTGAATAGATTCGTCGGTGCAGATTAGCATTCCCTGCACGAGATCACCATCGTGTTGTTAAGCTTAGGTATTTAGCACCTCACTCAATCTCTTCGTTTGCAGGGATCTCTACGTCTACATAGAGCAATACGTTGGTCATAGCTTCAGACTCGATTTACTTGCAACTCTTGCATGATTATTCACTTCCCGTTCGTGCAGATGATCATTGCAGCATTGGCGCACATTGTGTTCACCTAGTGAACCATATCGGAGGGGTTTTAAATCAAAAATACAAATAAAAAGCTTGAACAAGATTGACAGTGTTGCTAATGAGTTAAAAGAAGGCATTGAAATTGCCGCCAACAATGTGAAGTGTGATATTAGAAGCCGTGGGTGGCGGTGAACACATAAGTGAACTGTTGTCTTTGCCGAAAAGGCACAGTGCTGTCGAGTTCTTAAATCTTTTTATAACTTTTATCGCAGCCTCTTGCTCTTGCCCCTCCAACCATTCATATTGTAAATAGCCATAATCCCAGTAATGAAAATAGCGGTGAGCCAGCAGGAGGAGGTATCATCAATGCCAGAAATACACACACACTGACAGACAGGGAGAGTGAGAGAGAGAGAGAGAGCGAGGGAGAGTGGTTGCTAAAGCCGAAAGAGAAGGGAGAGCGTGGGGGATGGACAGAGGGAGACAAATATCAGCAAGGCTGGCTGCAGCAACATGATCCGCCTCCCGTCGAGAGATCCAGGCACGACTCTCGAGATCCGCCCCCGCGCTTTCGCATTAACTATCAGAGTTGCAGTGATGTGATGTATCCTAGGATCCGTTGCGGGGCAGAATCTTTTTTTAGTAATTTTGGTGTGGATGTAACGGTGCCGGTGTGCTGCAGGGGGCAGGTGATGTGTTGGGGAGGGCAACGTGGAGTAAATTGGGGGGGGGGGAGTGGCTGTTGTTCGGATCATGCGGAGGGAGGCAAATTTTGTAATCAGGGTGACAATGATTTGCGTGGAGTTGAGGGATTGGCAGTGCTGTGAGGGTGTGTGTGTTTGCGAGGAAGGGTGCGCATATTGATGAGCGGGTAGTATGTCTGGTTGTGGTTTAAGAGGTGAACATGGAAAGCGATAAGTTGTAAAGGGGAGGGGAAGCGAAAGGAATAGAGGTGATGCAGTGTCGGCAGTATGAGGAGGAAAAAGGGAAGGCGGACTTGGGAAAGAGAGTGAGAAAACAGAAGCAGAAGCTGCTCAAACAGAAGTCAAAAGAAAAAGGGAAAGTGCACATGGAAGTGGGTGCAGGAATGTGGGGACGTTGGAGCCGCGTGCGCTGCATTCCGCTGCCCAGTGCTGTGTGTTCCAGTATTCGCACTCACATTGCGCATCCTGTGCCTCAGGTTTGTCTCCAATCTGGGGTCTGTCTGATTTCTCCTCCTCCACCTCCTCTTCTCACTCTTTATGTTTTTCTTATCTTATTAGATGAATGCAGTGTTTCTTATCTTATTAGATGAATACACTTCTTTGTGATCCTAACTGTAATCATCGTGCTATATCAACCAGCTCCGAGTGATCGATTACCAAGTCCACTGGTACATATGCGTGGTGATCTTTTGAGATTCTTTACCAGCAAACTTGAGGGTGATGTAGAAGGATTTGCAGGTGACCTCAGAGTACATGTAGCGCACGCAAGAAAGGACAGTAGTTAAATGAACAGGATTTTGAGTGAATTCCTTACATCCATGAACGTGTGCATCGGCCTCTCAACATCTCTGCAAGGACCACATCAAACCTGGCATCTTTACAAGCCATCTCTAGCTTAAATGTTGGAGACTGTTAATCCACAAACTTGTGGGGGTCCACCCAAGCGAATTTGTTGGGGTCACCACTCAAGCGCTTAACCGCATCCCGCATCGCAGCTAGATCGAAATTTAGATCGTCGTGGACGATTATATCCTCAGAGTTGTTTGCGAGCATACCGTCCTCCGGAGTGTTGGTTGCGTATGCAATTGTAGCCGCTCACATGGTTTCTATTAAGGTTATGTGTCTAAGATTCGTTATTATATTGAATGTGCCGTGAAAACATTTCCCTCGACTCCCCTACACGCTTTTGGATAATATGACTGGAAGATAATGTGTTCATTTTTTAGCAGGTGGTTGGAGCACCTGTTAAGGAGCACTCAGAATTCGCCAGCTGGTTACACTCACGTGGTGAAGTGGATACCTGCCATGCTCTTACCGTTGGCATGTCAAATCACGGCCGGTAAACTCCTCCATCTTGTTGACCCGCAATTTTCTTTTGCGTCTGTTTGAATTGCTGTTGCGACTGGGTGCAGCTTGCTTGCTTTAGAGTGATTTCCGCATGACTACGTGGGGAAATTTTGTATGTGCTGAATGGTTAAGTGATGTGGAGCTTCACCGTTTAGAACTTACAAGCGTGAGTTCGCTGTCATTTATCGTTAGTTGAGCACATCAGAAAACTCGATCGTTGTTCTCCCCACTTCACCTCTCTACAGCGTTGTAATACCTGCCCTCATTAATGTACATGGTCAAATACCTCTGTCTATTGGACGTTTGACGCACCTACTAGTCTTGTTGTGATGGGAGTGTAGGACACTTTTTGCGGCACGGCCGATTGAAGTAGGAGAACAGGTATTGCGTGTGTCGGGCGACCTTGTACGTACCATTTGATCTCCACGCTCTCCACAGCCATGTATACCTTGTTCTCAGTGGTGTTCTTCAATTTTTGTTTTTAATTTCAGATTAAATGCTGGTCATATTTGAACATTGTGCAAGTTTCTTCGTCTAAAAGAATTCGTTGGAATTCCTCATGACTTGTATCTTTTGTCATAATGACTACAGATGATTACTCCGAATAAGTTGCCGACCGAGGTCAAAGAGCTTCTTCCTACTGGAGTGACTGAGTGGGCACGCCTTGCCCTTTTCATTCTTGTCGAACAGCACCTTGGTCAGGTATATCTTATTAGGCCAGGCATGTGTCGTAGAGAGTAAGCTATCAAGGTCCAGTGTGTAGTTACAAGATTACTATTACAAGATTACTGTTACTTGAATAGGGTCCTGCCTAATTGCCACAGTAGAGGAATTGGTTGGAATGATGCCTGGGCCGCGTTGATTTTAGGCGCATCCTAGAATATTGATCAACTCTTGTGCATCAGATGACGTAGAAATGGAAACCAAGTAGCAGTTTCTAATTTAATTTAACTTTTACTTCATTTTTTTGGGGGGGGGGGGGGGGTGCAGGCATCACAATGGGCACCTTACATTAATTGTTTACCCACTTGCGGGGCTCTCCACAGCACGGTATGTTCTTTGTAGCACACGTCTGGAGAATCAGTCCCTGAAATTTTCAGAATTTGGCACCGCGGATATGAAAGAGATCTTCCTCTTGTAAACCTGCGTTTTTTTGTCTTTCTTCCGAAGTATTGTGGCGATCCAATCATGTATGCAGGTATTTTGGAAAAAGGAGGAATTGGAGTTAGTGCGGTTTACCTCGTTGCACCGTGAAACGATGCAGAGAAGAGCTGTTATCGGATCCGAATTTGCATCCGTTCTGCCTGTATGTAGCCGAGACCTTTCATCAAATAACTCTATAAGGGGTTTATTGTCACGGGTTCATTATCTTTGATGTCACGGGTTTGTCAAAGCGTGCATCGGGCTGCTCGTAACCTTGGTCTGCAGCTAATGTATGTACGTCTGTCCTTGCAGGTGTTACAGAAGTGTCCTCATATATTTGGGGAGCGTGTCTTGCATTCAAAATTCAAGCAAGCCTATGCTACAGGTAAATCTCTACGTCGCTCATCTAATACACGAATCCTGACAGTTTGGTGAAGGAATACCAGTAGGCAGTTTAAAATGTCTCAGTTTCACCAGTATGACCTGATAGACGAGAAGTTTGAGAATGAAAATCTGTCATAAACGTAAGAATCAATGAATCTTTTTGTACTGCAGTGGGTTGCTTTCATCTTCAATTCTGAGCTTCTGATTTAAGTTGGGGGGGGGGGGGGGGACTACGTTAGAGCTGCTGTAGAGTTCATCAAAACTAAATAATTGGTTGAGAGTGTTGCCTAGAAAAGAGCAGATGAATAGGATGGAAGTCTGTATGGAAATACGTTGGGCTGGGTGCAGTGGGAGCTAGGGTATCTTGATGGATGAGGAGGTGGCGTTGCGGTTGGTGCAGTTTGTTCGCGAGCTTGGGGAATCGAGGCTTTGCAAACTCTGGCATTGGTGAGAGTTCAAGTACCATGGAAATAGGGCTGTACTATTTAGAGATGTTCTAATGTAGCCTCTCTGTAGATGGTAACCATATTGCTGGAGTTGTCTTTATCTACATGAATGTCATTGATACTGACACTTCCTTTATGGAAGCAATTGGGTGGATGTAACTTAGTCATCAATAGTTCTCCCTTACTCTTTTTGTACGTGTCGCCCCTCTGTAAGTATCTATTGAGTTGGTTCGATGTTGTTCGGGACAGGTGCCATTTGTTGACTTCTTCAACCATGATTCCAACTGTCGTGCCCTGCTTTCGTATGATGAAGAGAGGGCTTGTGCCGAGGTAAAAGCGTGGATCAATGGTATATGCTTCTAGTTGTACAGATTCAATGAAGTCGCACTCATTTTGCTTCTCTGTGAGGATAGCGTTTTGAGTTACTGGTAGAATTACTTCTACTACGATGTCATGCTGGCAGTTTCGTGTGCGCAGCATGATTAGTAAAAGCTCTGATTATTAAGAACTTAACTTTTAATGGAATAACCATCAAAATGTTTCTTCATTAAAATACATTATGAGATCCTTATATGATCAAATATTTTTTCTCAGAGAAACTCATCCAAGAAACTCATCCAAGAAACTCTCAGTGATCGATAGGGTGGTTTGTACAGGTCATTGCAGACAAAAATTACGCTAGAGGAGAACAGGTATATGCGGATCTCTTGCCGGATATGCCCTAGTTATAATGTCTATATACTAGGGCACATTCTCTCTCATATGTATGAAATCACAATGAATTGAGATTATAGTCGAAAAAGTTTGCAGTTGCATAGCTTACGTTTAATGTAGCTCATGTTTGAATACCAAATCTCATTATACTTACTAAACCCGAAACCATCAATCGAGTAATGCTGGAAATAGTGCAGTCTGACCATTCGAGATACTTGCTGGACGCAGTAATTGTCAGGTATACACAACCAGTAGAAGATCAATACGATTAGAAAAACTTATTCGCTAGCAGATGATTCATATTTGAAAGCATGCGCAGGTGGTGATTAGCTACGGTCGTTTGCCTAATACAACTTTGGCTCTTGATTTCGGCTTTACAATTTCATGTAATCCTTATGATCAGGTATGAGTTTCTGTTCGCTATTCATCGTACGTGTACAGTACTACCAGTAATGGTCGCTGAACTATATATATATATATATATATATATAGATATAGATATATATATTATGGCCTCTAAATTTGTGTACTAAATGGTCATCAGGTGGAAGTGTGGATGGCATTGTCGCATCGTGACCCTTTGCGCAAGATGAAGTTGGCCCTTCTTCATGCTCATGGAATGCCTACAGTCGTTCATGCAGATGGATCTGACAGTGGTGGTAATGGATTTCACTTAAGGTAACGTTCATACCTTGAAGTGTAAAATCGTATTGTCAGTTTAAGTGTCAATTACAATTTCCTTCGATTGTAGAGTACAGCTCATTTTAATTTTTGAAGTGGTTTCCTCTCAAGTGTGCCCCGTATTTGAGCCATTTATACTCAGCGTCTACCTTCCTGATGTGCAGGGAGGTTAAGTCGGTCACAGGGCGAGGAAAAGGCATACCGCATGCTTTACGTGCGTTTGCACGTGTCCTTTGCGCAACCACCCCACAAGGTTTGTTTGATCCTCAAAGAACTGAATCTATATTTTTAATATAGCTACTAGCTACCTTTTGATAGCTGAGTCTCAGTTTAACATGGATCTAAGTCTGCAAATTTTATTTCTGTAGAACAATTACCCATCCATGTTCTAATCGAGAGTATATATGAATGCCATCTTTTATACGTAATGAGTTCGAAGTAGTGCTTCGTGAGTCCTTATGTACTTGCATGGAATTCAGAATTGTCAGAGATGGCCGCTGAGGCTATGAAATACGACGGGCGACTAGCTCGTCTGCCAGCCAAATCCAGAAACAAAGAGGCCCAAGTTATGAACTTGTTGCTTGCGCGCTTGGAGAGTTTAATAAATCAGCGAAGTCTAGCGGTTCGTATTACTTCACCTCTCAATGTTCTAGTTTTAAGCTGCAGCTGTTTCGCGTAATGAGAAAACTGTACTCACACTGGAACTTGCAGGCATTGAACATCTCCGAGTCCTGTCATGGGGTGAAGCAGTCTGCGTGGAAGCCGAGTGCAATTATGGCAAGCGATGTGATAGCTGGTGAAATTCGTGTGCTCCGGTCTGCTGCCGCTTGGCTTAGGCATCAGACTTCATCCAATTGTGTGTCTGTCGGATAGGGTCATGTTTCTCTCTACACATTAAACGCAGCATACGATCGATATGTTTGGTTGCAAGACTATCCCAGGTTGTGTTCGTAAAATCATCTGCAAACACTTTCAGAAAACTGAAATTATTAGTGCTCAGTAGATTCAGGAGGAAAGGCGATTTTTAGCTTCAAATTCTTTGTTGTTTTCTGTACATCGTATAGAATTTACCATGCTAGTAGACTTTATGGTTGCAACATAGATTGCAACGTAGACTTTATGCTTAACTTTGAGGCACATGAGGAGGATGGGTAAATTTCCTAGTCAAAATTTATGAAAGTCGATCTACAATTTTTGATCTTCCTTGTCTATTTGGTATATGTAATCACTATACCTCGCCGACTGGTATCAGTGCCAGTAGAATTTGGAATCTGCCTTTCCCTCTTGAATTGTTACGAAGTCAGAAGAGGATCTTTTAATCGAATTCATGGTGTCAAGTAATTGTGGTTTTCTTCACGTACCTTCTTGGTGGCTGTGTTACTTCTTCATGATGTCCTTGTGTTTCATTTTGATTTATCGTTTTTCAGAATGTGCACTAGTAGTTTAAAACAACTTCCAACTACTCAAAAACATTACTTTAAGAGGTTGGTGGTTTCAGCCTTGGTTTTGAATATTGTATTCTGCATGATAGATTCTAGTACAGGAGGAATCCATTCTAAGATTTGATTAGGAAAGTGAAAGTACAGGTGAATTTTTAATCTGAGTGGGCTAACTCGTTGGAGAAGGAACGATCTGTAGTAAGTATAAAACAAGGAAGAATGTAATATAGATGGAGAGCTGTGGTGGATTTCCATCCCATGTAAGGATTAGGACAACTCGAAAATTGCTTGACTTGCTTGCTTTGCTTGTTATTCTAAAAAATTGTTTGATCTTTGTTATCATATCACACTCACTTGCCATTTGATTATGGAATATAAATACAAAAATATAAAGAATTGTTAATGTGACATATTGCTACATCCCACTTGACCAAAAAGTGTGCTTCTATGCTTCAGATGCATGTGGCACCCAATATTTGACCCAAAAATAGAATAAATATAAAATAAGTATTTTTTGTTTTTGGTAGCCAAATGAAAATAAACATAAAATACAAAACAAATTTTGAAGTAAATAATTTTTGAGGCAAATATATAAATTTTTTAAAACAACAGCTCCCATATTTTTTTCACAAAATATTCACTATCTCCTCCCTCAACCACTACCCTTTCTTAAAGCAAAGGAAAAAAAAAAAAAATGCACAAAAAAAAAAAGGAGGCATATTATTAGTAAGTTATCCACAAAGTGGTGATATGACATAAGGTGTAGCCATATCAATTGGGGATGTAGAGTTAACAATTCTCTTTCTCTCACTATATATACATATACACACAAATTAGTTAGGATTTTTTTTTTCCAAATTATATATGTAAGAGTTTGTGTTTAGAGCAGTATTTTCTACCAAAATCTACCAAAATATTTTTTATAGATGATCATGCATGTAATCAACTTCATCTATAAAAAAAACCTAATATGAACTGACTAAGTGTCTTGTCAATTTGCCTTTTGACAATCAAAACTTTTAATGAGATTGCAAAGAATTTTTTAAAAATAAATCCAAATTGTAACCATCTTAAATTATTATAAAAAATTTTCTATTGATTTTTATATTAAATTAATTAAATATATATAAATATTTTTAATTTATAATTTAGAAAAATAAATAAAATATGTATTAACTGCTATAATATTTGTACTTTTATTTTAATTTTGAGACTTTGTTGACTTGATTAAGAAATTTTTGTTTATTTAACTAATTTCTTTCTATTTGATTTTCTATTTTATTTTTAGTTTTTATCTTGCAATTTCTCATAGATTAGATAGAATACTTAAAATACAAAAATATTTTGTTTAACAAAAAAATCCTACAAAATTTGTACATTATAAGTTAATTCTAATGAATTTTCAAATATGTAGCTTTTAAAAGTCTTCTTTAAAAATCACATTTATTAGTAATTAGATGTACAAAAAACTATTATTTGTTTAAATATTTACTAATATTTTCCATCAATTTTATTATTTATAACCAAAAATATTTATTATTTAGAATAAAATACTTAAAAAATAATCAAAATCTTAAAATATATAAATACACATTTTAAATCTTTATTTAAAAATATTCTACAAAAAAAATATTTTATAGAATAAATGTAATTGTATCAAAATATTTAAAAACTAAAAAATAAATCTACTAAAAAAACTAGATAATAATACATATATTTATTATATTCTATATAAATAAATAATATAATATAATATGAGGTTTAATTGTTATCAAGCTTTCATATAAATATGGCATGCAAAATAAAAACTTCAAGAGAAGATGCAATGCAAATAGTGATGAATATTTTTTTTAGAATTAAATAATGTAGATAACAAAAAGATCTATTGTAGGTTAGGCATTTAAAGGCACCAAAAGAATTAAATAGATTGATAAAAATTTATCAAAGAAGATACATGCTTTTATGTTTTAAAAGTGATTTTAGACTACCAATAAAAAGACTTCAAATTTTTTCAAATAGTCAATACTTTAATGTGACTAATGCAAAGAGCATAGATGTTTTATGATTCAGCTCTAACATTAGCCATTCTAAAACTAAACATTAAAAAAAACCAAAATAAACATATACATAGTTTGTTCTCTTACTAGTAATTTAAACTTCTATTGATGCCCAGTTTAGAGGCTTCAATCTCTCCAAACATTGAAGATTCTAATGTGATTAATTTATAGAACTTAAATATTCTATAATGCATCTCTAACATAGGTCACTTTTAAAACTAAATATATAAAATATATTTGAATTTTTAATCTAAATATTTCTAAATATAAACATCTCATTATATTGTATAAATAAATATAAACATCATAGTATAATATTCTTTAAATGTGTATACATATATATATATATATATATATATAGAAGAATGATAAAGCAACCTAAATTTTTACTAAAGCAATCTATTCTATCTTAACCATCATTGCATCCTTATAGCCCCCATCCTTGTTCTCAGCTATTCCTTGTTGCCAGCCATTGCTAAAAACGGGGGCAAGGAACTAGGAACGTTCGGAACATGGGTGATAGTTGGAAATATGGGAACAACTAGGAACAAGGATGGGGTTGAGAAGGTACAATGATGGTTTAAACATGTGGATCAATTTAGTAGAAATTTGGGTCGCTTTATCATTTTCCTATATATATTATCTTCTTTGTGCCATTTGTAGGTGATAAATCATCACATCAAAAATTGGATTAACTCTTGTGGGTGATCTTGCATGAGGATTGTTTTATTCCACCATTATCATTTTCTTTATCTACCTGCATAGAACAAGCGCAAGAGTGGAAAAAAAATAAGAAGGGAGCATGGGTCTGCTAGCTGTTAACAGATGCAGGTTGTAGCCTAGTCCACAAACATTCTCAAAATGTTTGAACTTGGTCTTTGGAGGTGTTTGTTCCACCAACTACCATTTTCATTTTCGCACTTAGATTTTTTTCTCTTTTCATCAACACAAATTTGTCCTTTGTGAACATATAGATTTCCAATATGCTCGAGTTGTATGACTTGTACACGTGGTTTGGTGACCACTGGCCTAAGCCCTTTCCTGAAAGTGGAAAGTTATAAAGAACAAATATTATTTTGCCAGCTCAGCCGTTAGCATGCTGAGAGAAAAAGTTATGGCCATCCGTCAGAGCTTTTAAAAAGTGAACTAACCCTTTGCATCACAACAGCCGTCCTTTAAAGCGTCGGTTGTCAGGAGGTTGCCTAAGTACCAAGTTGCTCTGTAAATACGAAAGGAGTATGGTAACAAGTGCTAAAAGCCAAACTTCAATGCTCTGCATAAACAAAAGGAGTAAAGGAGTATTGTTTTTCTTTTGTTTTATGAATCTACTCATAATTAAATAAATGTCTCTGTGGGGGCAGGATTGAAATCAAGTATAAAATTTTGGTGAAACTACTTGAACTCAAATCTTCTGTAAAACCTTGCAATGTCGTTGAGAATTTTCCAATTCTGATGCAACCTTCGAAATAAGTCCACGAACTGTAGATAACCTTCCTGACCAACATGACATTATGTAAATCTCTACACCTTCAGCTTTTCAGCTATTTCCACCCTCCTCGGCTACCAAGACCACAAGACCCTGCCAATGGCCTGCACTTTGATAAGCATTAAACTGAACAAAATGTTGGTGATCTATTTACAGTAGTTCATCAACCTACGGATCTTGGGTTCAAAGTTCGATGGTGCCCACTCAACGGAGGCAATTTTGCTGAGGTAGCTACCATCTTCATAGCATTGAACTTAGTGATAAGTGAAGGTTTTCTTCAATACATATTATATGAAAACAATGTGATTGCAAACAGTATACAAATATGTTGGTTGTATCAGGAATTTTAGTTGGAGATAACGAAAGAACAACACACTGTACTGCTTCTCTTTTCATCTACTGCTTCAGAATTGTTCCATAGTTTGGGGGGGAAAAAAAAAAGAAAAAAAAAAAAAAAAAAAAAAGAAGAAGAAGAAAAAAGCTCGTCTTATATGATGCTTAATATCTCGTGAAAAAAAAAATACTGTCTGAAAGCATGAAAGTTAGTATTATAAAACTCTATCACTCACACAAACACAAGCTTGTAGACTTTACAAACTGATCCACGTTTTCTCTGTTGGAGGGGCATGAACAGTGGGAGATGGTAATCCATTGTGGTTAAAGCACACACCAATAATTGATGAAAGCACTGTAGTGTCGTAGTTTCTTCCTCTGGAGTGGCTCAGGTTCTAGGAGCCCTTTGGTCGTGGAGCATGATGACTACACTGTGAACTAGCAGGATGGGCAGTGGTGGGGGGGCGTGCAATTGATGACGAGTTCTTTAATAAGAAGTTCGACGAACATCTGCTTCAGCGGGATCAGTCCCAAATTCCTGCATCCTAATCCAGAAACTCACTTTATAATGGTAGCAGAACAGTTCAGTGAAGTTGGCCAGACTGCACACAAAATCAGGTGTGATGGTCTTGTGCAAAAACTAGAACCCACCATTCTTCCGGTAAACACAACTATGTTTTCACTCGATGCAGACTTGAACAGTGACCATCCTTAGGCCTATTTTAATCAACCAATACATAAGTTCATCTGCATGCCAAGCAGCTTCACAAGTTATGGACTTGTAACGAGATTCTAGCCACGATTGACCTCCTTTTATCACGCGACTGTGTATTGATCAACTCTCTGACCGTCAAGTTCGTCTTGTATTTAAACTGAGGATACCACCTTCAGTTTCTGAGCCAGTATACTTAACGTGTGCAGTCTCAATCTGATACGACACGGGGACCCAGAATACGCTCGTGTCTTTGCTCACTTGAATATAAGTCATTATAATGAGATAGATACGGTACCGTTCCTTACGTGCGTAGTAGTGTCGCACTGTTTGTGTCATCTTCCGGAGACTGCTTGGAACTATTTTTTCATTGTTTCCGATGACGTCCCCACGCAAACATCAGTCAGTGAAAAGTCGGCTCGGGATCCCATTTTAGAATAATTGCACGGTGAGCTGCAATGCCGCTGGTTCTGAAGAGTCATGGTGTCAACCTGTTCCCCACCACTTCGGTTGAACTTTTAATGACTGCAGTCGAAAGAACGCTATTACCCCCGTACTCGCGAATGAGCCGCTCGCACTAGTTTACGTCAATCTATGTCAGATGCCAGTTCATTCATAGCGCATCGGTATCCAAACATGTGAGGAATAGTCAGCTCAGGTAGTAGCTACTTTAAGTGAATAGCACTCTTCCTTTCAGTCTCTTCCCAATTGAAACCTGCACTTGTTCATGCCCTCTGCTGCATCTCTCTAGACCACCTTTGACGAGCACAAGTTGACAAGTGCTGAGCGCGTGATTTTTTGGAGAAGTCTAGAGCTGATATTGTGAATTTTAGTTGCTATTGGTTTTTTCTTTTTCTTTTTCTTTTTCTTTTATTTTTTAAGAACTTCCAACTCTTTCAGGTCTTGTCCCTGAAATAATAGAATTCGTTACTGCGTGGGGAGGACTCAAGTTTTGAGGCTTTCAGACTTCGTTAGAACAGATGTTTCACCTTTCGATTTGCTTCTCAGGACAAATTAGAACAATTTAGACGGAGACAAAGATATAGGGCCAATTATGTGGTTATCATCGGATTAAGAGACCTTCACCCTACTTCTCCATTTCTGAATTAGTTATCGAACCATTCGAGGTGATCATCAGAAGCTAGTCTAATTCATCGACGCGTCACTTAGCTGCAGTTTGCGGAATTGGCACTTATTCGTCACGGATCCACCTCGCGGCCGATTTTGTGTCAAGGTGCAGAATTATTCTAAGCCTCGTGAAGAATATGCCACTTCAAATCAGCTCATGCTGAAGTCTGTCAAGATGCACGATCAATTCTGGACAGCTCTTGCAGTGGGGACAATGTACCTCCTGCAACTCGCGAGCTTGACGAACGCACAAGGGACGTGGGAGCTTCTGCTTGACAACGCGGGGATTGCTTCGATGCACACAGCAGTGACGCACTATAACACAGTCATTTTTCTTGACCGCACCAACATCGGCAGGTCAGAGATTGACTTACCTAATGGAGAATGTCGGGAGAATGATGACGAGCTTGCTTTGAAGAAGGACTGTACAGCGCACTCAGTGATGTTCGACCCGAGCAGTAATTCGGTGCGGGCTTTATGGGTCCAGACCGATCCCTGGTGTTCTTCAGGGCAGTTTCAAGGTGATGGCACCATGGTCCAAACAGGAGGAGATTTTGAGGGCATCAAAAAAATTCGAACGTTGGTGCCATGCGGGAGAGATGATGAGTGTGACTGGGTTGAGGAGCGCACTGAGCTCTCGGAAGGGAGGTGGTACGCCACTAATCAGATACTTCCGGATGGGAAGACGCAGATTGTAATTGGAGGTCGAGACGCTTACACATATGAATTTGTGCCGAAGAGGAACAGAAACGAAGGTGTGTTCTATCTTAAGCTACTCGAGGATACTAACTCCGCCCAGGGTGATAACATGTACCCCTACGTCCATCTCCTTCCCAGTGGAGACTTGTACATATTCGCCAACCGCGACTCAATTGTCCTCAACTACAAAACCGATAAAGTGGTGAAAACATTTCCAAGAATTCCTGGAGAACCTCGAAATTATCCATCAGCAGGATCATCTGTAATGCTTCCCATTGACCAGGCATCTTCGTACACGGTCGTCGAAGTCCTCGTCTGCGGCGGCGCGAGGAATAGAGCCTTCACCAACTATCGTCAACAATACCCCGCTTCGCTGACTTGTGGTAGGATGGTAGTCACAGACAATGACCCCAAATGGGCCATGGAAGACATGCCTATGCCGCGCACAATGGGCGACATGATAATCTTGCCAATGGGCGAGGTGTTGATCATCAATGGCGCTGAAAATGGTTCTCAGGGATGGGGGAGGGCTAGTAATGCTGTGCTCACCCCTGTGAAGTACGCCACCTACAACGCGGGCAACAGATTCGAAACGCTCGCTGCGAGCGATATTCCTCGAGTGTACCATTCTACAGCAAATTTGCTAGTTGATGGCAGAATCTTGCTTGCCGGAAGCAACACGCACCAGTACTACACTTTCACGGGCAGATTTCCCACTGAGTTGCGAATCGACGCCTTTTCGCCTCCATATCTCTCCACCAGGTAATAAATCATCATTATCGACAACGTAAGTTTGCAGTTATGTAGAATGGCTAATTAAACTACACTGAACTAGAATCTTGACGTGGAGCGTGTCTACATCCCCCTCTCCTCCTCCCTCCTTATTTTTTAGTAACGGATCGAGAGTTGCCCTACAGATACACTTGGAGAGTGCAAGTTTTTTTCGTTTGTTTGTTTACTTGCCGCCTCACTTTGCTTGCAATCCGTTTGTTCTTTTCAGAAACAACAACATTCGGCCCACCATGACGAAGTCCCCAGGCAGTATCGGCTATGGTGAAAAATTCGCAATCACATTCACAGTTGCAGAACGGCATGGAGGCTTTGAATTGAACATGAAGAGTACTCCATTCGTCACACATTCATATGCCATGGGACAAAGGATGCTGAAGCTCGAAGTGACCGAGCCCGTTGCTTCCGCCGCGACACAAAATTCGTTCGCCGTGGATGTGATTGCCCCTCCAACTGCCGAATTAGCTCCCCCTGGGTACTACATGCTGTGGCCTGTGCAGGATTGGATTCCTGGAACTGCTGCTTGGGTGAAAATTGGGTGAAAATTCATCGAATTCGGATCCATTCATCTCTCCTAACTTCACCAAGGTTCAGCAGTTGATGCATAGATAGCTTCTCAACTAGAAAGAGCTCTGGATAATGCTCACAATTGCAAGCTTGATATCCAGTATTTACTTTTGTGTCCATCTCGTTCAAGGTTTGCTGGAAATCATCTGAGTCTCGCAAGAGCTGCATGGAAATCCGGTTGGTAAGAGATAAGTCCACGAGACAACTGATGTGGTCTAGCGGAATCAGGTTAACAAAATTTGGAATACAAAAAGAAATGCAGGGCAACATTTAAACAAAACAACACCTTGTACAAATAAAACCATCTCAGTTTATTTCCAGAAACCAGAACTGAGTAAAGATTTCAGAATTTGGTTACGATCACAACTGAGAATCGATTGAAAGTCCACAAGGTTCGAGTACAAGAAAGATGATTACTCATGTAATACTCATGCATTTACGCTGCATGCCTGATAATCCTAAAGATGTGGCTATCCGCTCTCCGTGGCTACTCCATTAAATCAGTTCATTAAATTAGGCTTTCAAGCTGAGCGGTCCGACTGATCTACCACCTGGTATTATAATTCCTCACTTTCTTAGCGAACCATCAGTCATTGATGTATTGTGTTTTTCAAGACGCTTACAAACCATCTCCCTAATCCAATTGATACTTGCTACATTCGCAACGTTCAGTTCGTCACGTAGTATTGGGTATCGCTTGAACCGGACGCACAAACGTTTATTCACATGTGCCCTAAAGTTTTCATGTTTGCAGGGATATGGACAGCTTTTTTAACAGCATTGGTCGAGTTACAATCCACCCTCATGACTGGTCTTTTTGTTCTCGTGTACATCCACGAACAGCAAGTGAAGAGCAATCAGAAGTTTCAAGCATTTGAGCATAAGTGACTGTGTCTTCTGATTCAAGGATTATGAGAATTTCGTATGAAACAAGAATTTCAGGACATCAGCGAGCTGCGGAACCATTAATATTGTTAAGGGAATATCATCCATAAGGCACCGCATCTAACTCGCTTCGCAACACTCTGAGGGCACCTGCTCGGAATTATACAAACATGCTTAGAATTTGTCTACATCACTTCGCAGAGCAATATTCATCTGCTCTAGGGCTTGAAATCAGCTCTGTTTACATCCAAGATTTGTGTCATGATTAAGATCATGGTTGAATCCAAAGTTCGATTTGGATTTGAAACAAATATTCAGGTTGAAATATTGACTGGAATCAGAACGAAAAAGAAGGCTTTGAACATGTTCATTTCTCAGAGACTGCAATGTGCGCTAGTAACAACAGTAGACAGATGCGGCGAAATTTCTTTTTGAGAAGTCCAATTTAATAAAATGTCTAAATCTTAATTAATTTTTTTACACTATGACTTCGTGATTCTGTAGGAGTGCATGTAAGAGCCCCAAGTAGGCACCCAGCTTCTCAGAATAAGCTTAGGAATGGTTCGCATTCGTGCAGCTCAAGGAGAAGAATGACCCCTCCAGTATCTCCATTTTACGTCCAAATTGTCATACAAGAAAAACAAAAAAGCGGCAAAAAACCTGGATCGTTTTCATCTAAAGCTTTTCTAGACTATCTTCGCACATCCTATTTTCCTCCTCTATCCACATGAAGCTCGGGTAATATCGTAACATTTCCAAGTTAAATTTCAAGCTGAGCAGACAGCTTGTGGCGCTCTATGGAGGGGCAGCATACACACACGCACATATAAATAAATAAATAAATATATATATATATATATATATCGAGAGAGCGACAGAGAGAGAGAGAGAGAGAGAGAGAGAGAGCTGTTTATTTTTCTTTTCTATAAGTGGAACGGTCTAGCTTTGTTTCAATCCCATAATCATTTGCGAATCGCAATTTAGTTGAGGGTGCCAATTCCCATTTGAGAAGATTCTAGAATTGTAGGAAAATAGGCACGAAGAGCCCCTAATGAAATTCATTGTCCGTAGCTGAAGTTTCATATCATTACATTGATACAGACTTCAACTAATGCTATCTAACTTCTACATCTTCGTCAAGTAGTTCTGATCTCGCATTCTCTGCAGTTGCCACAGTACTTGGGCCTTGGTTTTCATCGGCAACAGCAGTAACAGCACAATCTGAAAGGTGTTGGTCATAGAAGGCAATGTCAATTCCAGAATCCAGAAACTTCCACAATTCGACTGCAAACATTTCGGCATCCTCAAAGATGAATGATCTCATAGCCTCAGCAACTGCATTGCACCAACTTTTGGAGCTTGGCTCCTTCGCCGATCCAGAATCGGGCCGGAACATCGTCCCTCGAGACCGCTTTTGAAGGGACTGAACCACCCCGACAACATGATGAGTCACCATATTCACATCCTCATCCTGCATCAGTGCTTGCAATTCCCGCTGCACCCAGCACGGCAACCACTTGTTGGCCTTCACAACCCCGCTGATAGTCCGTGTTTTGGTGCCTTGAAGAGGAGAACCAACACCTGCATCCAAATCTGCCAAGGTCGATGAGTTTAATACTGTTTTCGAGCTTGCACCCGCTTTGAGAGCTGCATAAACTGCCAGCCGCCTTCGATGAGCCTCCGACAACCGGAACTGACTCCCATCCGGAGCAAGCAAAAAATGTCTCTGAAACTTCGTTCCTGCCACTAAGTCATGAATGATTGACGTGTAGTGGGTCTTACACAGCGGGCATTCAAGAGGCGTAACGCGTTTCGGGTCCCCTGTCTTCGCCAACGATGCTGCCATGACCATCTCTGACCATTGCAGGATGCAATGATAGCAAAACCGATGAAAACATTGATCCAGAAAGGCTTCTCCTGTTACGGATTCCAAGCATATTGAACAACTCTCCCCTACTTGAGCACCTGCAGCGCTTCCAGCCATCGCTCAACGGGTCCAAAACCTATCCTATGTACCTCAGCCCCTAAGCTACAAATCGAAAAATCCCAGGGTTCACTTCATCATCATCCCCAAGTCCAAACCGCACTAACCTCATGACATCAGTACAATTTCTTTCTGAACCCTAATTTCACCGAAATCCTTGCTTGATCTCCATCTTCTCACGCTGCTTCCCGGCCTGATTCCGACTTCGCAAACTCCAGCACAAAACATCCAGATGCCATTGCCACTATTCCAGAAACCCAGAACCCTAATAGCAAAACAGTCCAGCTATGGATAAAAAAAATCCTTTAATTCGTCCGCCACTCATCCCGATCAACCCCTGGCTCAGAAACCTCGACGAAGGGTGCAACATATTGATAAGCCACAATCAGTGTACAAAATGGCAACACGACGCTCAGCTACATTTTAAGCACTGACAATCGAACAATGGAGCTGAACCACTAGTGAACACTAGAAACAGGAGGTCTGATCGGTTTCTTGTGAGGATTCGGGACAATACATCACCGACTTAGAAGACCTAATTCGAGATTGACAAGAGAAGTCACCACCATGACCTCAATAACAAATGAAAGGTTCGATGCGAAGCTGCCAAGCAAATTCGCGACACGGGAAAAGGCCCCGCGCTCTTCGGGCTTCATGGCGGATTTCAAGGGGGCCCCATGAGCGTGGAGAAGGCCCAGGGGCCTCGTTGTCATCGTCGTCGTCGTCGTGTTGTTGGGGTTTGTGTGGTGGGCAGAGGGCGAAGAGTTGCCGAGGATTAGCCACAGCGCCGTGACAGGACACGACCTGGCGACGGGGTGTGGATAAGTTGGAGTAGTCCAGGATAAATTGTGCGAGTTTGGACCAATTTTGGAGCATGTCGGCTGCGCAGACTTTTCATTAGGGTTTTTACATGTCCAGCGCTAGATGGGTTCGGTCCTTTTGGTTTAGGTTTTGCAAAGGCATCATCCACTGGCATTAAAAAGGTCAGGCGAACTGTTTTTTGAGCTCCCAGACGAGCGGTGCTAGGCATGGCCGCGCCGCCGTCCTCCGCGTCCTCACATCAGGTTCCTTCGGGGTCCACCACGAGCGCTGGATCCAGCGGCGGAGCTACTGCTTCTTCGAAGCGGAAGCGTCGTCTCCATGACCTCTCTACCGATGAGGTATGCATCGACAATGTCTTCGTTTGGATGTACGGATTTGATTGCAGGTTTTAGGGTGAGAGAAAGAGGATGAGGGCAATTGGCTTGGCTTATTCTTCGTAGAGTGTTAACTGAGAAGGTTTCTCTTCGAATTGGATTGATCTCGACAGGGACGGGTGATGTAATTCCCTGGTGGTGAACTGGAGGGGATGTCGTAGAAAATTGTCTCTGCTTGTTGCTAAGGAGATACTACATTCGACATGTAACCCCGGAACTCTGTAGATTACTGGAAATTTTCTGTTCAATGAAGGCGTTCACGCATTCCGTTGAACAAGAAACTGTGATGTGAAGTACAGTAGGCAGTTCCGACAAGTTATCTGACATAGGTTCTAGCGAAAAGAAACGTTGACTTCCAAGAATTTCGATTCTGCTGGCATAATAATCATTGTACTTTGCTGGTGTGCAACATAGGTTGCAGTTTCGCGAATGTCTAGTTTGATTATAAGCACAGGCATTGATTCGATTTTAAAGGTGTGTCTGATACGATGTGTGGTCGTATGTATGAATGTAGATCAATGAAATAGTTGCTCTGAGAGGAAAGATGTCCCAAGCTGTCGTTGGGAAAAAGTATGGGATTGAGCAAACTGAAGTTAGCGCCATTCAACGAATGCAGCGTGTCAAAATTGCCCGCTTGGTGGATGATAATGATAAGAAGGTACTGCAACCACTCCTTCATGCGTACTTGGGTTTCTGATTCCTCTACTCTAGACTACGTGTCATTCACTAAGTAGCATCTTGTTTCGAATATGAACGCCGGAGCAAGACTATTACGTCAAAAAATTTCCAGGGTACACTCTCAGCGATGGACAAGAGCCAGATCTGTGTACATGACATAATTTAGACGGCATTGCTGGAAGCTGTGTCTATGCGCACTTTAACTCTCACAGGGGTCTTTTTAATCGTCTTCTGACACATGTATGTTTTGTGTGTAGCCCATGGTTGGAAGAATTAAAGGGGTGGAGATAACTGTTCCTATCGTGTATGGCTCCATTTCCTTTTGGCTTGGGAAGAAGGCGGCTGAGTAAGTACATGTTCACTTAAGCGTGTACATTTTGTAATGTATGATTGAAGCCTATTTTTTGTCATATCTTTACGAATTTCAGAAGCTACCCGCCACCTCTATGCATAGTTCAACATTACTTTTTTGTACATCAACCCATTCTTTGGCAGTCGTTATTACGAATGTTTGTTTGTTTGGATGGATTGCTGATTGAATGAATACTGGCTGCAGGAGCACACACAAGTGGACAACATATGTTCGAAGTGCTACTAATGAAGACCTGAGTGTCTTGATCAAGAAGGTTGTTTTCCAGCTGCATCCCAGCTTTGAGAAACCCACTAGAACAGCAGATGCAGCTCCGTTTGAGCTGTCGGAATCAGGATGGGGCGAATTTGAAATCGGTATCACTATCTATTTTCATCCCGATGTTGGAGAAAAACCTATGGAGTTGTACGTTAATTTCTGCCCTTGTACTGCGCTTTTAATGCAAATGTAGGAGTCTATTGGGGATGATGGAGGGAAAACCAGTCTAATTTTTCCAGTGAAAATTGATCACTGTGTTCATGAGTACTTCCTACCCAAATATGCATAGCGAGGTATAGAGTTGTCATTTGTAAGCTCCGGCTCCGTTTCCTTTCTTTCCAAATCTATTGAATGATAGGTTCTAAATTTTTGGGCTATTATACAACGATTTAGCCATTAAAGCAGGATTTTAAAAAGTAATAATTTGAAATTTGAAATTTGAAATTCATATGCATGAAGTTGTTCAAACGGTTCATCAAGTTGTAAGACTGTTTTTGGCCAGCACGTGTTAGCCCATGCTCTTTCATTGAATTAGAACGTCTGGATTCTTTGCGTCGTTGGATCTAATGCTTGGAAAGGTTTCAAGCAGGTTTCATCATCTGAAATTGTATGCTGACGATGAAACAATTCCGCAAACAACCAAGAAGCCTGTTGTTGTGGAGTCCTACGACGAGATAGTTCTTTCAGATCCCATGGAGGCATCATTTGGACGCTTACGTAATCATCCTGCCGTTCGAGTAACAGGGAATCCACCTTCGCAACTTGCTCTTCCAGGTTCGACACTGTTTGTGTTTGATTATTTATCAATGTGTCTACTTTTTAATCAACACGCAATTTTGACAAATTGCTAGGTGTCTACAATTTGACAACACACTTAGGGTATTTTAAATGATTTTTTTACCTGGAACAGAACTTATAGGATCCATTTCTTTAAGTAATTGAACTTCCTAGAGTCGAAGCGCGAGATTGAGAATCTTGCTTTTACTTTTATAATTTTGTTGCGATTCTATGCTTGAGGCTGTATCGTGTTTTGTCTGTTAGTGTCCCTGTTTTGAAAAAAAAAAAATCACTGGACTGTGGCAGTTGGAGAAAATTCCTTGGAAAGAAGAGGATGTGATACGAAGGATCATGCCCTTGCGCAGTGGTTCTTGAAACATTCCGAAACTGAGGATATGAACTCTCTTACAGCTGTTCGTCAACAGGTAAATCGACAGACTCTGCTAGAAGTATTTCTTGTTGTTCAATCTTTACTGCGATCATATTTTAGTGCGAGGGATGCAGACAGGGAAGCGCATTATGTATTGGGGATCAAACCTTTCTTTCCTGTACCCATGGTTTTATTTTGAATGTGGCGCCTCTTAGCGTTGGGAACGCTGGATCAGTGTCCTGAAGTGGGTATAATGAACTCATGGTTGTATTTGCTGTTGCAGGTATATGCAGCTGCTGCAAAGTTGAAGAAAGACCTTGGTTCATTGGAGGGTGAGATTTTACGCATACGAGCCACGACGCGTTAACATGTATATACAAATCTGTAACCTTGGGATTTGATTAATCACTGCAGGACCTGGCATGCACTGTACATTGAGATAATCAGGTAAGACCTTGTTATATTTCCACTTACAGGTGTGAAAAAATTAAATAATTGAACGTATAAGATTAGTCACTCTTAACCATGATGAAGTTGTTGTCGATTCTGCAGCGTCGGTTTAGAAATCAAATCGTCAGTCCTTGGTCCATCGCTCTGTTTGCTGCATATCAGGCTGGTCTTCATCCCAGCTATCCTTAATCAGGTGTTGCTGGAGGGCAGCCGGTAAGGTGAGAAATTTGTATCAAGATTATTGACATTAGCTTCGTTGTTGGCGTATATATTTTGGGTAAGTGTTTGGATAGTTGGCACCAAGTCAAGCTTCAAAGGGGATGCAAGATACGTTCTCAAAAAAATGAAGCATGGTATTTTCCTCCAACATTCAAGATTGTTGAGATGCTTATTTGTTTGTAGGTTTATTTTTTGGAGCGCTGTAACATAAACTCTTTAAGGTTGTAGGCGGGCACCACATCTCTTGTGAAACAAGTTTAATAAATTAAGGACTTTGACTCTGTACTTTCACAACTTGGCTCATTTCTTGCTCATCACCTTCCTTGATGTAATCCAACTTGTGAACTCAATCGACATCTGCTGCCCACTAAGTCACGTGCATTCGATCGGTCATCAATGTTGACTTGACCGTACCTGGTAGTTAACTTTGTATGTACCTTGAAGTATGGTTTCTCAAGCATACTTGAGTATAAGCATAAGTTGCAGTTAACACCTGTTTCCACCCTACATGACTTCAGCATTGTATGTTGGTGATAATGATGTCCTGGTACTACCACACTACTGGGTTGAAAGCATGGACCCACTTCATTGAATTATGTCTCGGTTTTACAAGTCTAGCAGTTGAAACTCATCACTGCTGATGTTTTGTTTTTCTGTGGCTGGATTCTTGAGGCTGAAAGCTATCCAACTTCGAGGAATCGTAATCCAAACCCTCAGTACAGCTATCTGTTTGTGGATACCCTGCAAGTCTTGTGACAACGTTTTTAACCACCGCTGGAAATACGATAACTAGTGGAGTACAAAGTACAATACCTTGAGCAACTGTCGACCAAGTCACAGATCTCGCATGAAATTCTCGAAAAGATGAAACTCCCGAACACCCAGTAAAATGTGCCGATTTCCTATCTCAGCACCATAAAATTACTAGCGCAAGAGGGCCCCTGCAAATATTTGAGAGTCTTGTGTGTCCCTCCAGCCCCAAGTAACAAATATACATCAACCCTCAAGTGACTACTGCATCATGATCGGGCTCTATCTCTCAACTGATGGGCATCTCATCGCTGACATCAATGCTGGAAGCAAAAAGAATATATTCTCAAGAGGAAGACTGGGTGCGGAATACTGAGCCAACGGTGATGTGGATTGTAGACAGTCGGAAAAGAGACGACGGTTCAAAGGATAAGGCATCCTGCGTGTCACGCAGGCTTCATGAATGCTCGTCATCTTCCTAGCCTCCTCCCAAGTAGGCGTTTCCGGTTCGTGCCTTTTCCCTCTAACGCACCGAACTGCTCACCACTCGACGCATCACCATGTCGCTTGCCAATCTCGGGACTGCTTGCGGCGCTTTATCACGCCCACTAATACTTTTTGACAGTTAGCAAAGGTTCGGCTCTCGATGTTCACTTGAATGTGTAGGCTTAAGTTGGTTCGTGTGCATTGGACGAGGAAAGGAGTCTGTATTCGATTACGTGATAAATTGCGCTAATAGTTGCAGTGTTAAGTTAGCAATGCTGGACACCTTTATGTTGTGTTTGAGCTTGGAGTAGTTGTGAAATTCGTTGAAGGATTGAAGAGCTCTTTTTTTATTTTAGAAGGCGAGGGGCGAGGGTTTATGGTTCGCTTGTTTGGTATGAGAGACTTGAGATCAATGTTGCGGGAGTCATGCTCTTATTCGCTTGATCCGATTGCGCTTTTTCAGTTGTGTAGCCGATTTTTGCATGGTATAGTTGTGGAATTTTTGGCAGTTTTTTTAGTCGTAATGCTTTCGATCGCAGGATTACAAATGTGGTTTCTAGGGTTTTGCACTGGAGCAGCTGAAATTTTCTCATGGTCCCTGAGAATTGATCATAGGCCTGCTTAAGAATAATTTCTTTGTTCCTTGTTTATTATGATCGCAACCATTTGGTGGCCTATCGCTCTTACGGTCTGTTGCTTTTTGGTTGGGTTCCTGTCTGGCTTCTTACAGCCCCAGCTGATCCTGCCTTGAATCCTCCACCTCCTGCATTGCGCGAGAGGGTGCGTCACTTTGATAAATAGTATGGCCGTCTTGTGCAATTCTGGTTGAAGTGTGTCGTTGTCACTTGGGCAGATTGATTGCTCTTTACGTTCTGGAATAGCTTGACGAGAAGGGTTAGGAGCGAGTGCATTGCAAATTACGGTTTATGCAGTAGTATGAATCCTGTCTTTGGTTTTTTTCCGCTTAGGCCGGCACGAATTGAAGCTGTGGATACACAGAGTCGAAGATATGATCCACATGGCTGGTTCTGGGACCACAAGTGATTGTTTATTTCTTCTTGAGCGTCCACTTTCAAAATTCAAGTTAACAAAATACGCTAATCTAAGCTACAAGGAATCATAATCTAGGCGTGGCTCTGACATGTGGGCACCTTGGCGGTGCCGAGGAGTTGGAGATTGGAGATTGGAGATTACTCTTGATTCTTGTTATAGACCGCAAAGATTGGTTTGAACCAGCTTTATAATGAGGAAGGGAGATATTGCAAATTGAGGCATTTGAAAGTATTAGAGAGTGGACGAAAGACGATGGTGGCAGTTAACGTAGGAGCTGCGCATTACTGGCTGGATCATCTGTATGGAGCCATCATGCACCGGATGCGGCTGGCCCCGCCATTCTTCTCAGGTGGATGGGGCGGTCGAAAGTTGGAGCTTCTAGAGCAAATGTCAAGGCAGCTGATAGCACAGGGACTGGCACAAGTTTCCTTGCAGCATTGGCCACCTCCTGCAATCAATCCAGTGTGGCGAACAGTGTGGGAGTCTAGGAAAGCAAAGCTACAGGAAGGCATTTTCACCACGCCTTGTGAAGATATGCTAAAACAGGTGTTGCCAATCGAGAGCCAAACTGCCCGTGTGCGACTGCTTAGCCCTCGCCATGTTCCCATCCACGAAACATCCTTTGTGGTACATTTGGCTGGTATACTTTCTGCACAAGCATCCAGTTCGAATGGAATGTTGTGGCTGATCATACACATCAATTTTTGTATCCGCATGAGGTTTGTTGAGTGGTGGTTTAGTCTAAGGGTACAGGAAATTTGTTCGTACTATCGGTCTTGTCCACTTGTCTCTATAAAGGCGGATTGAGGCGATAGCTAGGCATCGATCACCTTCCATACGCAGATTCTGTCGACTGATTAAAATGGAATTTCAAGTGGTTGACTTCTCTGTATTGGAATGGCTTAAGAATGTGTAAATATACGAGTGTGATTTTTCCAGGCACAGGTGATCACGGGTTTGATCGACGTTTGCGATTAGGTGGTCCGTTGCTGGAGAAGAATATTGCTACTTTGGTATTGGAAAGGTAAATTGGCAGACTCGCCTGCTTGATTGATTGTTCTGATGTTCAGGTAGCGCCGCAACTGGTGCGTACAATGACAATATGGAGTTGATTTTGCATCTGAAAATGTTGTCTGTCAAAATATCATATCTTGTTGAGGAATTTAATACCGTCCTTATTGAAAGTGCATATTCAAATAACATGCAGCATAAGTCAAAGGGCTATACTACGCAGGTACAAACAGTTGAGATAACAAAAGATTGATAAAGACTCACATTTTATAGAAGACTGGAGCTGTCAAAGGCCAGGTTTGGTAGGATATGAAGTTAAAATTGTACACCCAAGTTTCGCGCTGCCGCAGTAGGGTTCCAGGGTGGGGCAGAGAAATTATCACCATGAGTTCATTGGACTTACAAGAACTGTCTAAATGATACGCTGCTTCTCGTTGCATGAACGATTTATGTTTTACGTGCCGCTTGTGCCCTAGAGGTTTGACAATCAGCATCATTAGTCATGTAAACAGTTGAAGAATCATGGCTGCAGTCCTTACTATGGGAAACGGCGGCCGCCTTTGCAACGAGGAGCGAGGCTGTTGTGTGTGAGTGACTTGCTGTTGCTGGGAAGAACTACTATTGAAGAAGCACGTGCTCTTTTGTATTGGGCGGAGACAGAAGAAGGATACAAGAAGGTCGGGGTTTGCGGGCTTAGCATGGGTACATGGGCTTTCACATCCCGTCCTCTGACAAGCTTGAGAATGCAACCTGGCTTTTTTTTTGTCAATGCCTTCCTTTTCTTGTTACATTAATCTGATCAATGTTGCATGAGAATTAGTTGATTTAGTTTTCGTTCATACACAGATTGTATCGTTTGCACTCTTGGTTATGGAGTTGGAGCATCGCCGGCTGAAAGCTTCCATGATCGTATTTGTGCAGGAGGCGTACATGCTGCTATGGTGGGATCACTGCATAGATCACCTGTAGCGATCTTGCCCTTCTTAACCCCCCATTCTGCAGCTGTAGCTTTTTGCGAGGGTATACTGCAGTATGGCACTGCCTGGGAAGTCCTGATGCGTGATGAACTGCTCAGTGGCTCTATGACACGAGAGCAAGTAGTTGAGCGAATGCGGACTGTTTTATCTCTTACCGACGTGACACAGTTTCCTGCTCCACAAAATCCCAAGTCTGTTATCTTTGTGGCTGCTACGGTAAATTCTCTTGTCTGCTCTTATCAATTTTGTACCCTTCGCCTCTTTGAGATATTCTTTTCCTCCAGTTCCACTACCACCTAATCCGTTTAATTTATACCCTGGCTTGCTAATCTTCAGGATGATGGATATGTGCCGGACCACTCGGTGCTGAAATTACAGCAGGCTTGGCCAGGGTCAGAAGTTAGGTGGGTAAGAGGTGGCCATGTCTCCTCCTTCATTTTCCACAATAAGACATTCCAAAAGGCCATATTAGATGGTTTAGATCGGTTGCCTTGATTGTTTTTGCTATGTAGGTGTACTTTAGTCATTTACAGTCGCAGATTTGTTCTGGTTTAGGCCGCTCTACATTATTCATTCAGGTTGGTCTAATATCTATAATGAGGATTTGAGGCTATAGTAGAAAAGCGCATCCTCATTACAGAAGGTATTGAAAGGTGGATGACCAGGTATCTATTCTTTCTATTTTGAACATTTTTCTCTCACTGAGATGAGCTTTTGAATCAGGAGTCCATCTTTATGGCCATCTTCGTCTTCCTGCCGCAGCTCATACTAATTTATTTGACATATGTTTCATTGCCCTACGCTTTCTTTATGATACTGACTTGCAGGGTGCCACAAATCAGTATTGACCATAGGTTTCCATTTCTGACAACCTTCATAGCCGCATTTATTTTTCTACTATCCAACAACTTCAGGAAAAGTGGAACAATTTAATATTGAAATAAATGCATGTTGGAGGTGTGAGTATACATTTACAGATCGGAAATTTGAAAACTGCACATGTGGTTGTAAAGTAAGATCAATTACATTGAAAGTCATCTAATATAATCTGAAATGGATGTATCTGCCAAAAATGTTTCTCATCTTGTTTGTTTGTTTTGTTTTGTTTTTTTTTGTTTTTGTTTTGTTTTTGTTTTGTTTTTGTTTTTTTTTGTTTTTGTTTTTTTTAAAAAAAAATTAAATGTAACGTTTAATTAATTACATACAGTCACAACTAGACTATGACAAAAATATATTTTTTTATTGTATATTTGTACTTAAAATGACTTTTGAGGTTGTTCATTTCAACTTTTATTACTATCATATTCTTCACATCTTGTTTTTTGAAAGGTTGGTGAAGATAGAAGTTTTTACTTAAAGCTAGACAAAGAAAATTTGAATATATCACTACTTTATTTTTCTACTTGATCTTTTATATTTTTTTAAGTATTATTGATAAAAGTCTTATTGTGTTGAAAAAATTAATAAATATGTATATATATATATATATACAATATTGAAATAACCCACCTATTTACTAAATTTATCCACCTTATTGTAGGAAACAAAGGGATTGGGATGAAAGTTGAAAAGAGGAGGAGAATAGGGAGGTTGATACAAAGAAGGTTGAGAATAGGGAGGTTGGTACAAAGAAGGTTGAGAATAGAGAAAATGAGGGATAGAAACAAGTAGGATTGAGATAAAGGCTATGATTGTAATGATGATATCTTAAGATGATCCATTTTTCAAATAATGGTTATAATATGGTGGATTAATTTAATAAATGGTTGGATTATTTCTTATTTATCTGAATATATATATATATATATATATATATATTAAATTTATTATTCTTTTATTACTTTGAACTAACTAACAAAAAAGATTATTTTTTGTTATAGTGTTATTAATATAGGATGTTGGTGATAGTTATTATTAAATTTTAACAATGACAATCTCAATCACAAATAATAGAAAAAAATAGAAAGAAAATAATGAGTATATTTTTTTATAAAAATTGATTAAGTCTCTTCTTTTTTTAAAATTTGTTTATGAATTTTTTAAAAATAGAATTTAGTTTTTATCTAATAATAATAAATGGTTATATTCACCTATTATTTACTTATCTTCATCCTCGGCACTTTCTCTTAGGTATCTCATCTTGCTCATCTTCATTAATAATTATAGCCTTAGGTAGTTCATAATTTTTTTCTATCTCATACAAACAAAGTAGTATTTGTATATTAAGATCATTCAAGGAGACAAGTGGTGGCTCTTATGCAATGTATGCACCTTTCTTGGTTTTGATAAAAAAACTTAAAATTGTCTTGAATTCATAGGGTGTGTTACAATTGATCACAAGAGGTTCATAGAATTTACAAGAGATTTAAAACTTCCTCACATGTATAATGGTAGGTTGTTTTACTTGTCGTATTGTTTCAATTACAACTCAAAGCACACATAAGCTTTTTAATGTGCAGAAGGGGTGTTGATCAAAACTTTGCTGAAACTTGCTTAAGCTTGTTGAGGCATTGAAGTTAATTGAGGCACTTGTATGGAGGAAGACAACGCTAGAGCATGATTGTATTGAATCCATGGATTCATTATTATGTACATAGACAATAGAATATGAATTATGAGGCATTGTAAACTTCATGGTATATATAATGGCGGGTTGCCTTGCTAAACTTACTATTTCAATTGCATTTGATGGTTTTTATTTTATTGTTTGAATCGCAATTATTGATTTCTATTTTATTGTTTTAATCACATTTGATGGTTTTGATTGCATTTAATGGTTTATGTTTTTAAAGACCTTCACAATTCCATTAATCATGTTCCATTTCTCTTTCTAGTAACTTGTATAAGTCTAATATGAGTGATGAGGCAGTTTATTATTTTGTAACAAGCTCACTCCAAAAATGTAGCATATGACTTAGGCATTTGAAACAATGATGGCGAGCCTACTATGACCTTAGAAGAAGCATTGGATTGCAAAACATTGGATTATTTTGTCATTGTGAACCAAACCAAGGCCTTCAAACACATCTTCTACGACGGATCTCAATATAGTATGCTGGATAGTAATTGGGCAAGTAAGAAATTATAGTTCCAAAGAGGGGAGGGAGAGTCTATGCTAGGACGTATCTCCAAAGTACAATGTCTGATTGACCTTGTAAAAATATTAGAACATAGAAGGACTTCTTTTCCTTAATCATTGATCAAGACCAATGCCTTGCTCTCACGCCAATTGTTGTGATACTTGGCTGAGATGTGGAGCATACTTGGTCTATAGCTCAAAGTACACATAATTTTTTTGATGTGTAAGATGGACATTGATCATAACTTTGTTGAAGCTTACTGAGGCATTGAAGTTGACCAAGGCACTTATATAAAGGAAGATAAAACTAGTTCAATATTGAAAGAGGAGTTTTATATAGTCAAATAAGTATATGATTGTATTGAATCTATAGATTTTTTGTTGTATGCGTAAGCAATTGAATATGAATTATGAAGTAGTTTTCATGAACAAATGTAAAGATGTTACAAAAAAAAGTGTTCTTTGTCAAATTTTCAAATTTGGGCTTTATTTTATTACAATCAATGTTAAGTTTTATTGTGGATTGGATATTTTGGGCCATCTTGCTCCAAAGTAAGAAAATAAATTTATTTGCAATATTTTTATAACAATCAAAGTTCACTTATTCAATCCACGTCAAATTTACTTTTATTCACATCAAAATTACACTTTATAAATGATAAGCTATTGATAATAGAAAGGTTAATTAAATTAAAAAGTCAATTGAGAAGGAAATTTAAGCAATTATTATTTTTTAGTACTCTAGAGTATAAGTATGAAGACTAAATGTTTTTGTAAACCACAACTTTTTATAAACCACAACTTTTTGTAAACCATCATAAATAGAAGAATTTTGTATTTAACTTTTAAAATTTTACAATGTATGCATTTTATATCCTTTAATTATCATCTTTCTCTCTTCTATAACAAAAGTTAGGATAACAGTGTTAAACATATATTTATATAGGAATTTCAAAGTCATTTTATTATTTTATAATTTTATAATTTTATATTAATATTTTTTATCTTTAAAATTATTTTTTTTATAATTTTTATCTTTATAGTTATATTTATATTTTTATAGTTTTTATATTATATTTATTATATTATATTTTATATTATATTTTATATTATATCTTCATTGTCAAAAAAAATCTTAAAAAATAAAGTTTTATTGAAATTTTAGAAGTATTGCTAATTATACAACAAGAATTGTTGTATCAAAATTAAATTTTAGGAATTTCATTTCTTGCTCTTATATAAAATAATTTATATTCAACTTCATGCATATAAATATATACATATATCTATTTATATATAAAAATAAAATAATAAATTATGATACTTTTTTAATAAAAAAATAAATATTTATTTTATTTTTTATTTTTGAAAAATTGAATTTTTTGTTATAACAAGTTGTTAAAAAAAATTATAATTGTAATTAGTAGAAATGCATAGATATAAAATATTTTTGTATTAAAACTATGGCATTATAATTTGATTAATTAAGTTGTACATCATCATTTTATTTTACAGGTAGTATGTAATCATACTTAAGTAACAAGGTTTTATTGAAATTTTATAGAAATAAAATTTTGACACTTACAAGCTTACTTCAATTGTCTAGTGGAATCCATACCATTGTAAACAATCTAGCTTTAACAATGAATCAAAGAGCAATTGCTCAACAACAATGTAGGAAATGTGAGAGAATACAAAGAGAAGTTGAAATAGTTATAAGTATTGAAGCCATACATAATATAGGAAAGATGAATGTTTTGTATTCTCATTGTAACACATTGCATTGATTTGATGAACATTTAGTCCGGTTGCTAAGGAAGTTGCCATTATTTGGACAATGTTCATTAAGAAAAAGTTTCTCTACCATCTCTACCTTCTCCATCTTTGCTTTTGAGACGCTTATTCAAGGATTAAGATGCAAGAGGTGAGGAATTCCAAGAAAATATCTATCAATACAATGTTGTACATGTATTTACATCCTTAGATGCAAATATTGATTGATTTGTGCTTCAAATAAATGACCTATATAGTTTTAGAATAAATAAAGAATTGTGCTATTTAGTAGGAGCATTGTTATCAAAAAAAGGTATTGTCACAACTTATGCACAATTTTATATCCATGACACATCATTTGTATAAGATAGAAGAATGAGTCGTAATTGTGGTTTATTGGGCTAAACTATGTGAGAAATTGGAGAAGTTTTGAAGGAAAATGATCCATTTATTGGATTATATAGATAGGAAGATGAAATATTATCTCAAGCGTAGAATAAAAGAATAGTAGAAGTAGATCTTGTTGTTTCTTTGCACTTCATGAATGAGAGCAATAGATGCTGATATAATCTCTCTACCATTTTTGAAGAAACTGCTATTATATTGCTTGGAGATGTATTGGAGCATAATGCTATTTGTGATATTATTATTTGCCTATGTAGTAATAGACTATTAGAAAAGATTCATGACACTCATTCAACTTATTTGATCTTTTATTATATCTATTTTTTCCACATAGAATCCTTGGGTGGCATCTTAATATAAGAATGTAAAATATACTAATGGATATTATTGAAGAAAGAGAAGGTCTTCGATAAGAAGATTGGAAAAACAACAACCTTATATAAATGGATTATTTTGCTTATTGACATTTTTAAAGACCTACCAAATATTCTACAATT